CGATAGACATCTGCTGAGTGATTTGAGATCGTTAGCTGAGATATGACAGAAAGGGCTCATTTCTGTCGAGTGGCCTTGCTCGACGATGACTCGATGTGGTGTGCATGTGCAATCAGTGTGGTGCATATACTGGCAGGCGAGAGCGTCTGTTCTTCTGATCGCTGCCGTTCTCACTGGAGTGGATGAGATGGTCTTGCTGGCAGTTCTCCAGCCTGACGTGTTGNCTCGTAGCTAGTCGCCAGTAAGAGATGATTGCTCGCTAGTGTCCCATCCTCTCTGACTATCGGCGTGGTGACGCATGATCTGACCATGTTTGAGCGTATCATCAGTGACAGTAGCTCGCAGTGTCCACAACTGCTGTTTGCGGCATGAAGGAAGATGAGCAGCGCGAGTTGGTCTGATTTGGCAGCTCGTGGAAGTCGTGTCGATTGGACTTAGGTAAGCGTTACTCGACGATACATGATCGGACTGGAGGTCTGAGCGAGAACTTGCGAAAGGAAGGTATAGCGGAGAGCCGATCCAGCTTGATGATTTATGTCGACGATCAAGAAGGATAGCACCGCTCTGCCATTGTCGAGTAGTGAAATGCCAGGGGATTTCTTCAATTTGCTTTGCCAAAACTTAGTATTGCGTAATTCATGGGAAAGTTATCAATCGCCCGAGTATCTGATTGGCGTGATTTATCTAGGCGCGTTGGCAGGACATTAGGTTGAGCACAGCGATTTTAGCGAAGACTCTCATACTCTTCACCCGGTCGCATTGCTGCGATTCATTGGTACGACATCCAGTCGCCATCACTATTTATGCGACTCAATTTGCATTTTGGAAGATCGCCTCGAGACTCCCTAACCCAATTACGACGGTTCAAAGAGACGGAGAGTCAGTCTGCGCCAAAACAGTATCCACAAATATGCGTGCGTACTCCGGAGCAGGGTGAGCTGTCCTCACTCGCAATACCAGCTCATTCAGAGAGCTCGATGTTGCCTGTCTGGCTGGCAGTACGACTGAAGTCATGCCTTGAGACGGTACCATACATCAATAGTCTCCAGGATAGTATCCAGCGGACGATTGATGCAATATTGCTCGAGCGGATGTCGACAGCAGTAAATGATTTTCTGCTGCTGAGATGCGTNCTAAATGTGGTCNNGATGGTCATCGCTGCGCTCGTCCAAGTGATATGCTCCATCAGATCATTGCAAGCGCTAAGCCACCACTAGCTTTGAAGACTCAAAGAAGGGCCTGCCACAGTGCTCGATATGTGACACGGCGAGTTGTACGGCTGACAAACGGCTTGTTGCTTGTGATGACCTCTCGCCGTGTCTTTACTGTGCACTTGACATTATCAGCGGGATAGTCTTCAGGTCCGGCTGTTTGTCTCGACCATTGCTGTCACTTCCTGGGGCGTTCCTTTGACTGCGATGAGGTGCTCACTTGTTGCTGGATTGTTATAGGACAGATTCAAAATCCTTGGTGCCTTTCGGTTCCAAAGTACCATCGGGAGGATCGAAGAGATCAGTCTTCAATTGCTTGTAGCGGAGATTCTTCAGCTTGAGCTGCTCTTTGATGTGCATGAAGAAAGGAACATGTATCAATGAGAATCTCATGCGCCAGGAAACAGATCGATGTTGTAGATTTTCTTAGCATGCATCCGCTTGACGATGATGACAGCGTGATCTGTCAGCTTGTGTTCTCTACTTCACTCGCACGAAAGGTTTGATGGTGGCTGAGTCTGTTTTGCCCTTTTCTGACCAACAAGTGGTGACAGCGCGTGGCTGGGACATATCGAGCAGCGAATGCAAAGACGGAAGTTATCGCAGAGAAATCAACAAACGCATCCATTGAGGTTCATCATGCACATCAAATAGCAGAGATGACACCGAAGGATCAAACATGGTTGCCGATAAGTACGAGACAAGTAGCGCAAGGCCTAGACAATATGCGCCAGACTGTCGTGAGAAATGCCAACAGCATGCGGTTGGCACGAGCATTATTCCCGCCATCAGCTTGAAGCTGGCATCTGATACTGGCCGAGCTTGTGGTGAGACGTGAAGGCTATGATGCTAGACGATTCCATGATCTGCAGGTCTGCTGGCGCGTGATCAATCGGACAAGGCGCGCAGATCACCGAACTNNCCCGAGCAGAGATAATTANCACGTCTGTGCTTTTTCTCCCTTGCGCGCCANNCTCNNCCAGCACGACAATANNAGTCCGNCACTGTCTTGCGAGGATCCTTGATAGCACTCAGAGATCAGCATGCTCGAGGACGGGTANTCTATGCAGGGAGATGCAGCGAANGAAGAGTCTTGGTCGACAACATTTGGCTAGTCGTGGTTGCCCCACGCTATCATCTGGAGGCCTGCTCGCTCGTCAATGACGCTCTGACGACCAAGCAAGAAGATCGACATGCCCGTTCAGACCCTTTGCGAAAGCTGTGATGATCTGGAGCTAGCTCGAGGCCAGACTCGCAGACTGGCTGATTCGACGGGGAGCTCCTTTTCTATGCGACTAGCTGCGAGAGAAGGACTGCCCGTGACCATTCTGGAAATCTTGGAGAAGCTCACGAGTATCAGTGGGAGGCGCCTTTACTCGTCGAGGCGAGAATCGTGGCCGACAAGAAGACAACAGCCGCTTCAGACGCTCTAATTGGGAACATCCCGGGACCGCGGCCTCTAGGCAGGTGTGGTGACCTGTCCNCGATGAGGAACAACCGNGTGAGGCGCCTCAAGCGGACGAGCGNAAGCCGACGAGATTTGACCTGCTGTGCTCGCGGCTGTCAAGTTGAGGCGCGCTCGGTCGTTCAGACGAGAAGCTGGTCAGCAAGAAGACAACAACCGCCTCTGGNTCTTGCTTTGCCTATGAACACTGGAGCCCGGAGGTAGCTTTGCAACCTATCAGCGACGGACAACTCCAGACGAGGTATTTGCAGCGAGCCAAGAGTATTCGCCTGCGACAAGTGCTCTGCCGAATGCGGCCAGCCTTGGAGGTTTGCTCGCTCGTCGGAGCAGCTCGTGGCTCGACAGCAACACTCGACAGCCTCAAGATGGACGACAAGAAGATCGATAACGCGTCAGAGGGACGAGTGTGCGATGCTAGGCGTTCGTCCCTCAGCCTTGTACACGCGAGAGAGACAGGTGTGCGATACCAGGCACTCCTCTCTCTCCACCCCGACTCTTTATAAGTTTGGTTCTTACCTGCCAACAAGAAAGCTGATCATTACATCGACTTGCAGGGCACAGATCTTCAGTACTATATGATGCAATTTACTTCCACTTCTATTGAGATCGAGAGTGGATCATGTCAAAGTGCATGGGTATTACACTTTGAGTGATGAGCGGAATGCTTGAATTTCGTTGCAACTTGGGGAGCCAACGATGAGTGGCATCGCAACGCGATCGAAGTGACACTGAAGATGTAGCCAGCAGTCTCAAGGGAGTATCCGCTCGTCTTGTCCGACGGATCTTCAGCTCGAGACCGAGCTACAAGCTGATGCCTCATTTGAGTGTCTTGCATGAGCTAATGTAGCTTGGAGCCTCTCGCAGGTTTGGTGCGAGTGATAGGGATCTTGAGCGCCCAACGTGCAGTGGTGTCACCGACGGATACCCAGTACCAGCAGGCATGACCGTATTGATTTGACCAGAATAAGATGTGTATAGACCAAAGCGACGGGCAAAGCAATGTCAGACCGAAAGTCCGTGTAAACGCGAGGCAGACAAGCACATCCGTAGGGGGCGCAGGCTGCACATCACTGAGCGAAGCTGATCGTGTTGACGAACGAGCAGCTGCTAATCTGTCCGTGATGCGTTTCGCGATGACGGGAGCTGGAAAGCGGGCGATACTGCTATCATAACGATGCGGTAACTGAAGATCTGGCAGATATCCACGGGGAGGTCCGATAATGTGTTCCCGCTGTGACAAGGGAAGCGGCGAATGCGATTACGCAGCAACCGGTACTTCTGACTTGGGTGCAATCTGGGCATACAGAGCAATCTCAGATCCGGTCATAGCTTGGCATCGACTGCTGCGACGACAAGGCTCGGCGGTTTATTGCGAAGATAGCCTTCCTCGCCTGCTTTGTTGTCCCAGATGTCACATTTGATTGTAGGAAGCTCTTGGTCGAGGAGCCATCGCATCATCATCGGCCAGGCAGTGTCTCTATGCTTTGGCTTGAACATATCTACATGTCCAGCCGCCGGCCAGGCTGGGCTCTGAAGGAGCGGATCGACAATGACGCGGGTGACGTGCGCATTGGGTAGGCAGTGAAGTAGCGCGTCCATTCTTTGTCGGCTGACCAGCCAGTCGTCCGCCCAGCCGAGTGACAAAATCCGACCTCTGTAGCTATTGTGCATGTCTCTATACTCGTACGCGCAGTACTGCGGAAATCCTCGCCATCGAAGCCAATCGAGTCCTACGCCCTGGGGTATGTCGTCACCCATGCGCGACTCTGAAGCAGGATAGTAGCCCAAATGCAGCGTCCGCTTGACTAGATCGGCTACATTTTGTCGAGTTGCTGCTTCGTCAGGAAAGTAGCCATTGTATGGGACGACATTCGCGACAAACAGGACGGACGAGCACCAATCGCGCTCAGGCGAGATCATAGGGAACATTTGTGCGCCAACGGAATGACCAAGATATAGGATGCGAGAGCCAGGGTATGTTTTCCGAACGTATTGCAACCCGGCACGGATGTCGGCGAGCCAGTGATGCTCGATCGTCGTCAATTTGCCGCCGATGAGCGCTGCTTTCTTCGCCTCTGGGTCTTTGAGGTCGATGCCATCAGGGAAGCTGCTGCCGACGTAGCGCACCTCAACCGTCAAGACTATGATGCGGTAAGTTTCTGCTGCCCAGCTCGCAAATGCGCCGTAGAAACGAGCGGGGACACCAGTAGCCGGCGCGACGAGAAGGACAGTCGTGTCGTTGCTGCTGGCGGCCGTTGGCGCCGCGATGAGAGCCCGCGTCGGAAAGCCGTCAAAGGTGTCCAGTACTACACTTGTCATCCTTGCTCTGATAGCACTGTTAGCTGCACAACCGGTAGCCATCTGAGCTTTATCGTCCTTACCCGGTTATGATAGCGCCGCGGCTAATCGCAAGAGCGAGCTCGACCGATGCCGAGTCAGCCTGACCGCGACATTTCAACGTGATCATGACGCGTAACACGTGGATCTTCGATAGGTTAAGAATGGATGCGCTTGCATATGAAGGTCACTAAGTGCTCTATGGGCTTCGTGAGAGGTGTCAGAGGTTTACACTTGTCAGTGTCGAACGCTAGCAGTCTATGCCCATGCTTTCGTACATCTTGCCGACCGAATTGCGCCAGGTATCGACGCGGGTCTGTGACGTGCCTGCGGCTATCTCTTTAAAGGGTCGCCCATTCTCACGCGTCTCAGCAAGGCGCGCCAGGCTGGACTCCATCCAATCGCGCAGCGGCATCGGCACGTTCTTGGGCGCTGCTTTGATCATGTAGTCTCTATCACCGAGACCTGTGTCGTCTACGTAAGGTGGAACTATTTCAATCACATTGAGTTTCTCCTTGACAGAATCGGGCGCCTGGTTGATCTGCTGGCGCAGTCCGACGCAAAATGAATGCATTCCGGCTTTGGTTGCGCAATAGACTGGGAAGTAGCCGAAAGGGGTGAACGCAAGACCTGACGACGTGATCATAAGGTTTGCAGGCTGCCCATTGCTCGCCACTTTCGCCAGGTGCGGCAAGAACAAGCGGGTCAGCACGACGGGCGCGGAGAAATTGATGCTGATCTCTTCGACGATGGACTCGTTCGTGGTCGAAGATTCGTCTAGGAAATTCGGGAATTTCTGGACACCTGCATTGAGCAAAACGCTGTCGAGATCTGGATGATCTCTCAATATTGCCGTGACTCGATCCTTACAGGCGGCCAGGTCGGATACATCCCACTGCCGCTTTGAGATCAGAGTCGGACAAAGCAGGGGAAGAGTACCTGCCTGGAAAGTCCACAGCGATGGTAGCTCTTCTTTCAACACATCCAGTCGGTCTTGACGTCGGCCGGCGATGATGACGGTCTTGCCTTGCTTCACGAAAGCTCGAGCATATTCTGCAAGCCTGCGTGAGACGCTCCTCATTGCTATATAGCATGTCTGTGTTCACCTTCGCCCAAGCCAGACGTTCCGCCGACGATGAGGACTTTCTTCATGGTAGCAGTCATCTCGAGTCCGGTGCGATAGCAGAGAGGCGGGTGAGTAAGCGACAAGAGACGAGCAGGGCATTATCACCGATGAGCTGCGACCTCGCACTTTCGCTCGGACATTGGGATTCATGATCCGCAGATTCACTCATCATCGCGTGCACAGTCGCGTGGTCGGTCACATGTCACATATCACAAGTGATGTTTCGGCGGCCTCGAGTCTAGGCTTGGACAGCTTGTACAACATACTAATGTTCTAATCGTAGCCCTTCTTTCTCTATCACAGGCTGGAAATAAGGGTGATCGATGGCCTCTCGTGCAGTCAGACGTTCGGCGTGATCGTATTTGAGCAGACGGTCTAGAAAGTCAATGGCGACGTTCGAGATGTACCGCTGATTCTCGGATCTAGACCAAGAGTCAGCATTCTGTCAGTTACTCAGCCACGCGAACTGACGTTATGAAGCGACTCCAGGCCTTGCGCGAATAACGGCCAAGTATGTCGTCATACTGGGCGTCTAGATCGATGTCGTACTTTTCCAGATAGGCATATAGCTCGTCTGTGCCGAGTACTTTGGCAATCTTGACCAATTGATCATAGTTGTCGTGGCCATGAAAGAATGGCTCCTTGCGGAATATCTACCCGCACTGATCAGTCGTTTACACCATGAGCACACAGACTAGAGCTGACCATAGAAGCAAACATGGCTCCAAGACTCCACAGGTCGAGACTGTAATCGTACTCTTGAAAGTCGACGAGTAGCTCTGGCCCTTTGAAGTAGCGTGATGCCACGCGAACATTGTACTCTGTGTTCGGGTGGTAAAATTCGGCTAGACCCCAATCGATCAGTCGGAGCTGGATCAACGTGTCAGCTTGCGATCAGCGACAGCAAAGTCTTCGCACCTTGCGATTCTCGTGGTCTATCATGACATTATGGGGCTTGACGTCGCGGTGCATGATGCCTCGAGAGTGGCAAAAGTCGAGTGCTTTGAGGAGTTCGAGGATGTAATACCGGACGTCATAGTCGGTAAATTTGGGATAGAGGACTTTAAAGTCTGTGTTGTTGACGTACTCGAAGATGATTGAGGGAGTTTTGCTCTGCATATGTTTCTGCATCAGTCTGGACATGCACAGCTAGGCGCGTGGCTCACCTGTGGATCCCGGACGACGTCCAGGAGACCGATGACGTTGGGTCCGCCAGCTAAGTTCTGTAGGATCTTGATCTCTCGCTTGATCTTCTTCTTCTTGACAGGCTTCAAGACCTACTCGGGCTCTCGCATGAGCGCAACTCCACCCGACAGAGTCTGTGCTTACTTTGATGACGCACTTTTCATCGTTGGCAATGTTGATGCCTTCAAAGACTTCAGAGTATTTGCCGCGACCGACTTTTCTGACGACTTCGTAGTTGTCTTGGATCCTGCACGACCGTGTAAACGGGATTACATTGCCGAGTCAGCGAACGTACCCCCAAGATACCATGAGGTTGTCTGTGCATGCCGGCCTTAGCTTCCGGGCGACGCGATAGAGCGCAGTAGACGCACCATAGTCCCACCAAGCTCTGCCGTATTGCTCGTTCACATCGGCGTAGATTCTTGCTTGCGATTTCCCTGGCGCCATATTGACGCCGGTCAGACGAGATGCGCTTAAGGACGAGGCTGTAGAGGCAAAGCCTGACGAGGTCGAATCGTCCGAGAGGTGAGCAGCCGCGTGAGATCGTGCTGAGCTGCTCCTGATCAGCCCGGCGGACCGAAGCAAGCGGGCGTAACGTCTCGCAAAGCAGGTTGATCGTCCCGGACAGCCGTATCGCACAGAGGCTGGATCGTCCGAGTTGAAGGTCGAGCTGAAAAGGTCGATAGACTCTTGGTAAGAGAGGTGACTCCACTGAGTCGCGTTGAAGCACTTGCTTGGATGGTCAGCACCTGCGACAGCTGCAAATGACTCTGTTGTCGGCTCGTCGAGATAGTGCGAGAGCGCCGAGCCGTTGAAGAGGCTCAAGCTGATCCTCGATAGATGAGCCGGATCAGCGCAACGGCCGAGGTAAGCTGCTACGCTGAGCGCTAGTAGGACCTGCTTGGGAGGCAGTCGAGCCAGACTAGCCGCTCTGTCAACCCACGAGCAGCTCTTCTCGTCTCGGCTCAACAGGGCACGCAGGCGGCAGAATCTCTCACGACACGAAGAAAAACGATTGACTGTTCCTGCGCGCGCGTCGCGTCCAAGCTCCAAGGCTGGTCTGTAGACGAGACGCCGGCCAGACAAGATGCTCGAGCGGCTCGAGGTGAAGGACTTCAAGTCTTATGCAGGTCATCAGATCATTGGCCCCTTTGGCAGCTTCAGCGCTGTCATTGGGCCAAATGGAGCCGGCAAGTCAAACGTGATGGATGCCATCTCTTTCGTCCTCGGCATCCGTTCAGCTCAGCTCAGGTCCAAGAGTCTGGCCGACCTGATCTATCGCAAAGGAGCAGAGTCAGATGGATCGGCATCTCCAAGCAAGAGAAAGCGTGTCCGACCACCCCGCAATCCTGATGTGCCTGGCTCGAGTGAAGACGAGGGTGACCAGGATGGCATGCATGTCGACGATCCCGATGCTGACGGGCCCGAAGAGTCAGGCGAAGATCTGACGCTAGCCAAAGATGCTTGGGTCATGGCAGTCTATCGTGACTCGGCGGGAAAGGAGCATCTCTTCAAGCGCACCGTGACTGCATCTGGCCAGTCGGCCTATTATCACAACGATCGCAAGATGACCTATGACCGCTACAACGCTCTCCTCGAGAGTCAGTCCATCCTTGTCAAGGCTCGCAATTTTCTTGTCTTCCAAGGCGACGTCGAGGCAGTCGCTTCCCAGAGCCCAGCAGAGCTTGCACGGCTCGTCGATCAGATCAGCGGCTCGCTCGATCTCAAGTCCGATTATGACGAGGCCAAAGACGCTTATGCAAAAGCCACGACGGCGAGTACGGCCAATTTCTCAAAGCAGCGCAGCTACCGTACCGAGATCAAGCACTTTCGCGACATGCGAGCAGATGCCGAGCGCTTCGCTGCCCTCAAGGCCGAGCGCGCTCAGAAAATTCAACATGAGATCGTATACCGTCTCTATCACCTGACCAAAGATATCGATGCTCTATCAGTCGGGATTGATAAGATGCAAGCCAGTCTGCCAGCAAAGCAGAGAGATAGCACCGAGAAGGATGCACTGCTCAAGTCGAGGCGCAAGGAACTCTCTGCGGCGTCAAAGGATGCTGTCAAAGTCGAGAAGCAGATCAAGCGCAGAGAAGCAGAATACGAAGAGCGTAAACCCGACATGCTCGCACTCGAGACGCAAATCGACCATGCAGTACGCAAACTAGCCAAGGCGCAGAGTATAAGTGAGCAAGTCGACAAAGATCGCGTCGCACGCGCTACGACGCTCGCAAGTCTCCACCGAGATCTCGACATTGTGCGAGCTGCAGCACAGCAGCACGAGGAAGAGCAGCGACGGCTTTCCTCCCGCCAGGGCTTCTCCTTGAGCCAAGCCGATCTCAGCGATTACCAAATTTTGAAATCAGAGGCGACGACTCGCGCAGTTGCAGAGCGTCAGCAAGCAGCAAACGTATCCCGTGATCTCAAGGTACAAAGCGATCGCATTCAGGCGCTCGAAGATAAGCTACAGCAGGCCCGCTACAAGGACGGCAAGCTCGAAGCCGATGCTGCAGTCTTGCAAGCGAGCTTCGCACAGGTAGTCAGCAGACTTGCGCACCTCCAAAGCGCCATCAGCAAGAAGAAGTCTGAGATTGGCGCTGTACAAGCTGATCGGGCTCGGCTGACGTAAGCAGTCCACTGGCTGTCAAGGTCGCGCTCATGTCCCCAGCAGACAACTTGAAGCCGAATGCAATGAGAAGCTGGCCGAAAAGTACAAGGCCCTCATGCTCGCCACGGCTGCGGAAAAAGAGTCTCAGCGAGAAGCACGTCTCAAGGAAACTCTGTCTAGCTTGCGTCGCATCTATCCTGGTCAGCACCTACATTAGCATATCATAATCAGCTCATGCCTGTACAGGTGTTCGCGGTCGACTTGTTGACCTGTGCAAGCCAACAGAAACTAAGTACAAACTCGCTATCAGCACCGTGCTAGGCCGAAACCTGGACTCGGTGATCGTCGATTCGGAAAAGACAGCGATGGAGTGCATAGAGTATATGCGCAATCAGCGAGCCGGTCAGGCGACATTTATTCCACTTGACACGATCCAAGCACAGCCAATAAGTGAAAAGTACAAGGCGCTGACCCAAGGCGCCCTTCTTGCCATCGATCTCATTGTTTTCGATCCGAGTATTACGCCAGCTTTGCTGCACGCTTGTGGCAGTGCACTCGTCTGCGATACTTCGGCTGTGGCAAAGCATGTCGTCTACGATCTCAAGGAAAAGGTCAAAGTCATCACACTTGATGGCACAATCTACCACAAGAGTGGCCTCATAACGGGTGGTCAAGACGGTACTGAAAGCGCGCGCTCGTGGGATGCACAGTCAACCGATCGACTTCGCCGGGAGGAGGAGGCCCTGCGCGCTCAGCTCATCGAGCTTCGTCGCATGAAGCCTCGTACAGAAGCAGATGATCGTGTGCTTACAGAAATCACACGATTGGAGGCCGAGCTTGCTGCCACAAAAGACGAGCAGGTGAGTATCGCTCGGTGGCATGGTGCTGGGCTAACACAGATTGGACAGACTGCCATCGAGGCGCGATTGCGCGATATCGGCTCAGAGCGTCTACACCTTCGCGAGTCTATGCAACGTCTTCAGACTTCGCTCAGCAATACAATAGATGTCAAGACTAGCCTGGACGAGCGACTGGCGAGCATGACACAAGTCATTGATCGTGAAGAAGACACTATCTTTGCTGCTTTCTGCGCCCGCATCGGCATTGCAAACATCCGAGAATATGAGGGACAGCAGGTCGAGTTGGCCCGCCATATCAAAGAGAGTCGTTTGCGATATGACACACAGATCGCGCGACTTGTCCATCAGACAACGTTTGATGCTCAGCAGCTTCAAGGGCTAGAAGATCGTCTGGCTGTCTTGAAGGGAACGGCGGATGCTCAACGTCGAGCGATAGCCGACATCACTGCCCAGAAAGAGCTTCTCTCAAGCGATTTTGAGAAGATCGAAGCCGAGATTGGCGCGCTACGAGAATCTGCCGTTACTGAACAAGGAGCGCTTGCCCAAAAGCAGGCGGATGTCGACGATGCAAAGGCTGCCAGCTCAAAGGCTGCGGCTGCGCTCGAAGAATTGCTGCGATCGATTGCAAGCAAAGTACCGCGCAAGCTGTTGCACAAGGATATCGTGCTGATCGCGTCCGCAGGAGAATGCTCGGATCAAGGCGGGTGCCGATCGTTTCGGATTGTTTCGACGCTGTCGGCTCGAAGACATCGATTTGCCTCTCGAAGAAGGCAGACTTGATGACGTACCGCTGGACGAAGTTGCACAGGATGATGACGGCAGTCCAGCTGCAACACGCGTGCAGACGTACGGCCTGCTCGTCGATTATGTGGAGCTCGAGGAGGCCGAGCGCGAGGTCGGCAGCTCTGTCTTGTCCAAGTTGCACACTAACCAGGAAAGACGTGCAGGAATTCAGCGCGAATTATGCTGCAGAGATGCTTGCGCAGATTGCTGCTCTCGATGGCGATATCGAGCGTAGTGCGCCCAACGTTCGAGCTATTGATCGGTACGTCTGCTTGCCTTGGCGTCCCGCTGGCCTGAATAGTCGTTACAGACTCGACGATGTCGAGGCAAAGCTGGCAGCGAGCGACCGTGATTTTGATAAGGCGCGCAAGCAAGCAAAACAGGCAGGCGATGCTTTCAACAAGATTCGAAAGCACCGCAGCGAGCTTTTCAACAGAGCCTTCAACCATATCTCAGAGCGTATCGATTCCGTCTACAAGGATCTGACAAGAGGCAAGAACAGTCCCATCGGAGGCACGGCGTATCTCTCCCTTGAGGATGGAGACGAGCCATATCTTTCGGGCATCAAATATCACGCAATGCCCCCAATGAAGCGGTTCCGAGATATGGATCATCTTTCCGGCGGCGAGAAGACGATGGCTGCGCTTGCGTTGCTCTTTGCTATCCATAGCTATCGGCCTTCACCATTTTTCGTACTGGACGAGGTCGATGCAGCACTCGACAATACCAATGTCAGCCGCATCGCAGAGTAGTATGTCTGTCGGGTTCTGCAAGCTGACTTCGTGCTGATAGCTTTCGGCAGTGTTCGAAGTCGGGCCAGCGAGTCATTTCAGTTCCTCGTCATCTCACTGAAAGCGCCCTTTTACGAGAAAGCGGCTGGACTCGTCGGTATCTGGCGCGATGTCGAAAACAGCACCTCTCGTACCCTGACGCTCGACGTGAGTTCTCCGCGCCGACTGACGGACTGGTCAAGGCTAAGCATCATGTTCGCACAGCTGACGCAGTACGTTGACGAGTGAAGCACGACAGACAATCTAGCAGCCTCCTGTTGTTGTTATCGTGATCATGTTTGATCAAGAGTTGTCATTCATTTCCTTGCAGGACGCGCTCTTGGCATCGCTTGGCTCGGCGGGCGGCTGACGCAATGCACTGCCCCAGCCACGGCCCAGGCGAGCCGTCTCGGACTGATGTGTCAATGAGAAAGGCTCTCACTCGCTGAGGAATCAAATCCTCGCCAGTCAGACCGAGCTCAGACCGCTTCCATGGTTCCGAGTCGAATCACAACAACTGTGAGGCCAGGCTTGGCGCCAGTTGATGTACAGCAAGCAAAACATAGGAGATCTCGCGCATCGCTCTTGTCACCTCGGGCGGCATATCTGAGCAGTCCTTCGTCCGCGATGCACCGGATGATTTGTCTCTGTTTGTGCTTGGCGCTCAGTACGCTGGCAGGCGCAAACTCGGTACGGCCTGCCAGCTTCACTCATGTACACCGACTCGAGCATCTCGGGACGAGTATCGTCCGTCTGCATGATCTGCAGTCGCCCCGGGTGCACTTTGCAAACGATCTGTTCCTGGGTCAAGACGAGGTCTTTGCATCGCCTGCTATCGTCAAATACGGCAAGCGCAACGTCATCCGACGGCGGATAGATGTCGAGCATGACTCGCACGCCACTCTCTTGACGAGACGCGGCCTCCTCGATCGAGAGAACGAGATCAAGCAGGTCAGGCACGATGATCACGCTGTGCTGCTGTCCCTGGCCCTACCCGCGAGTGACGCTTCGGATGCCGACGATCATTTCTGGATCGGTCTGCGTCCATCTGCGGACCTACTACATCCCACTGCACGCATACATTACCACTCTCAAGGCGCTCGACGGACTGAACCTCTGCTCGCAAGCCATATCAAGGCTTTTCAAGGTCACGTCTTCACCTCTTCCGTTAATGCCGAAGCTTTCCTGGCCGGCGTGATCTCAGATGAGGCTACAAACACCGACCTTGCACGTCTGACCTTGAGCGATCAGCCGGGCGAAGGTTGGCAGGGGATCTTTTGGAAACAAGGCGAGTTGCATCAACTGATCACGAGCAAGCACTATCAGCGGACCAAGTACCATGACGACCCAATGCCTGTCGGAGATGACGAAGATTATGCGATGCATTCCCTCATCCTTCGCGACAGAGATCAACTCCGGGCTACCGCTGCTTCAACGTGCGGACACGACAGCCAGGCATACAACGTCGCGCCCGATCACGAGGTCTATCTTGGCTCCCAGCAACTTGACTGGGAACGCCGACATTCACAAGCGTTCCCTTTTGAGACCTTCTCCGCGGCTAGCGCTCGTGAAGCGTCGGCAATGCTGGACGGCATCGTACATCAACCTCGACTGGACAGGCGGCAAAGTGGAGGCGACGTTGCTGGTGGGCTCAATCTGTCTACCAATTTCATTGACGTCATCAACTCGACCGTCGGCTGTCCGACCGAGCGCCGGGTCGTTTTTATGGGTCTAGCTGCAGATTGCACGTACACGCAAAATCAAGCGTCGCAAGAAGCAACGCGGACGACCCTGCTCACCGTTCTCAATTCGGCAAACGCCCTGTATGCCTCGACATTCAATGTCGCCCTGGGTGCCATCGAGCTCGATGTACAAGACGCACAATGTCCGACCACTGCCACCTCTGACGCCCCATGGAATTTAGGCTGCAGCTCTTCTGGCTCTGGGTTAGCGCTCGACGATCGACTTAGCGTTTTCAGCCAATGGCGAGGCGACAAGGGCGACAGCGATGGCGCCGGACTCTGGCACTTGCTTACCAATTGCTCATCAGGCTCAGAAGTCGGCGTTGCATGGCTGGGTCAACTCTGTTCGACGACTGCCTCAGCCAACGGTGGCTCTGCTGCGTCAGGCATCGTAAGTGGTACCGGGGTTACCGCTTCTGTACGGAGCGAATGGCAAGTCATGGCGCACGAGATTGGTCATAAGTACGCTTTGCTCACCTATTCCTTGCTATCGTGATTCTGACACAAATTGTCTAGCTTTGGTGCAATACACGACTGCGCATCAGGCTGTAGTCTGTCCGGCAGCTGCTGTCCGCTATCGACGAGCCTATGCGATGCTGTGGGTATATTCGCGTTCTCGAGCTACTCAGTTGACGTCGAGCCGCGCAGGATGCCGACTTTATCATGTCGCCTGTCTCGACAAAGACAGTCAGCAACTTTTCGCCATGCTCGCTGGGTAATGTTTGCAGCTTACTGGGCAGTCGCTTGAACACAAGCTGTCTCGCAACACCGGGCGAGCGCACGTTGATCTCACTTCAGCAATGCGGAAACGGCATCGTGGAGCCAGGTGAGGACTGCGATCCGGGTAGCAACAGAACCTCGGCTTGCTGCAATCCGCAGACCTGTAGATTCACACCAGGCTCTGTCTGCGATCCCACAACGTCTGCCTGCTGTACATCGTCTTGCCAGCTCGCTAGCGCGGGCACAGTCTGTCGGGCAGCTCTGTCTGATCAATGCGATATTGCAGAAACATGCACAGGCAATTCGAGTACTTGTCCGGTTGACACCTTTGAGAGCAACGGCAAAAGCTGTGGATCCAACAATCTGGCATGTGCCGATGGAATATGCACCTCGCGCGATCTACAATGTCAGCAACAGGGCGGGTCACTCAATTTGACAGGCGCCTGCAGTGTTCGCACAGACCGCACCTGTTCGCTCGCTTGCACATCTTCGGATACGTCCGGCTGCATCATCCTCGATTCGACCTTCGTCGATGGGACGCCTTGCGGCTATGGCGGTACATGTCAGGACGGAGATTGTCAACGCGGATCGCTAAGTGCAACCATCAGTACTTGGTACAGCCAGAATCTGGCGATTGCCATCCCTGTCACTGTCGTGATCGCGCTCCTTGCAGTGGCAATTCTGCTGTGGCTTTTGCGATGCTGCTTTGGACGTAAGACTCGGAGGAGGACGCCCGCTTCTGCAGCCTATACGAATGGGTCCAGCCGCAGAAGTACCGGCAGACGACGAGCGAAAGGCGAGAGTCGGACGAGCACCACTGCAATCGGCCCGCCGAACATGTCAACGTACATGGCCCCGCCAGCGCGAGATAGCACTGATTCGAGACAGCCCTTTGCACCACCATCTACCGTTCCGCCATCATACCAATCATCTGTGCGCGCGCCTGCAGGATATCGCAGCTATCATCACGGAACCGAGTCAGGCCAGCAAAGCTATCACGCGCGATGAGCGTGCTGAGTCTGACCCTCTACGCATACACATCTGTAAATGTCTGTTTTGCACCATGTTTATCAAGAATGTATGCATCTCGTAGACACAAGACACCTGCTAGCGGACAGAGCCTGGACGCTCCGAAGCGCGCGATGCAAATGCAGAACCGTTGCGACGGCTTTGTTGCCGCTCTTGCTCGCTATCTGCAATCATCTCTGCAATCTGCTGTTGCGCTCTCAATTCGGCTCGGCTGAACCGACTAGCTGAATCGATGGGCCCTTGTGACTCTCGCTGGCCGTGCGTCGCAGAGGCTTCGGCAGCCTTGCCATCCGAGCTCGTCTCATCTTCCCAATTGTACGTTGATATGGGTGCAGCTTCAGCGCTCAGCTTGTATTGCTCGTGAGCGGAGACTGCTTGGACCGTATCTGCCATGACTGCCTCTGCGATGCTGTTGGCAATGCTTGCAGTGGCAGCATTGAAGACGACGCCATTCTTGAGCATGTCGAGCATGACGTCGAGCACGGTCTCGATACTGCCGTAAGAGTGCCAGTGCGCGCGCAAAAGCTCGTTATAAACCTCGGTCGTGCAGCCAAGAATCAGGTGGCGGATTGATCTAGTGGATGCTGCCTCGAACAGGGCTAGTGCTGCGGCAGGCCGATTGAATCGGACTCGAAAGACCGACATAGTCCTCGCAAGAACGCGAGGATAGATTGAGGTTGTCAAATCGATTGTTGCAATCTCGTCCGAAGGGTCATGCTGAGACATGCCCAGCTGGAGATCGAGCACAGCGGAGGCCCATCGCAAGAGGTCCAAGTCGGTCGGCTGAGCACTGATGGCCTCGACCTGTCTGTCGAATTCGATGTCCGTCGAGGTCGGCTCGTGTTTGTCCCTGCGAGCAGATCTTACACGGTTCTGGAAGATCTCACTCGGAGTTTTGCTTGCGATCATGGCGTCACTCGGGAACGAAGTCGTCTGAGATGGCTGTGTGCCCATTCGGGGCGCGTTTGGGAACCACTTGAAAAGCTCTTGCTCAAAAGCAGATTCTGCAGCTGACGGCGAGAGGCCCGGCGGAGCCGACTGCGCCCACGGAAGCAACATGTTCGCCGTTGCGGGAACGTCTCTGGCAGTCGTTTGTGCAACGCTAGGTGAACGCGGCCTGGCTACAATTCGTGTGATCGTGTTGCGCGGCCTTGTCATGCGGGCGCGAGTGCGTCTTGCGAGGGGAGCCAGTTTGCAAGTAGAGGCACTGTAGCTCCGCTTGTTTGTCGGATCGATTGGTAAGAGCTCTTCTGCCGCTCTCAGGACACTTGACAAAGGCGGTGAGGCAGATCTGTGCAACAATGTCTGTCTTTGCTTGCGAGGCAGACCCGGTTTACGGCTTCGGCTCGGCGAGCTCGCTTGACGATACACTTTGGGCGTGCGTTGCACGAGCGCTTTCTGCAGACGTATACTGGCCAGGGATGGTTGGGTTGCATGATCCCCACCTTGCGCCTTTGGAACGTCGCTCCTGACGTTCGACTCCTTGAGAGCTCTCAGGCGATCAAGCAATCTATCGGGTTCAGGCTGGACATTCTCTTGGCTGGGTATGGAGTCGATGGGAGTCTCGAGTGATTGCAGCGGCCGATACTGCATCAGCAGTGCCGCATCAGGCTCGTCTTGCCTGCGAAGTGGTATTCTAGCTGAGCGTTTGATTGAGACAGACGTCGGGCGACTGTCCTCTCCAGCTTCACCGAGCTTTCTGTCTGCCGCACTCGACAGCTTGCCTGTGTCTTGGCTGCTCGAAGACTGAGCTGCAATTTTGAGTGACGGCCCTGCGCTACTGACGCTCCTGCCGGTCGCAGTCGTCGAGAATGATCTCTTCTGAGCGCTCCAGTGCATGCTGGGTGTCGCATCGACTTCCTCTAGAGCATCGCGCCGGACGGTTCTGCCTCTGCGATCCTCGCTTTTTCGCGCAAGAGCACGGTTCTTATCAAAGTACTGGGGACCTGAAGACTTTGCGTCCGAAGGCTGCGCAAGAGAGTGAGGGTCATGCTTCGTCAAGATACTGTGCAGGGCTTGCATGAGCGTCTGTGCTGAGCAAAAGGCCAGGCAGCGACTGACGCTGGCTGGTCCATGAGCGTCTTCAGGAGGAGCTCGCGATTCTTGGCGGTCTCGGCGGCTTGGTCGGACATGACACGAGCCAGAGTGGCTGTAGAGGCCGGATCGACAGAGATGGGGCTCGTGTCCTGAGGACCGAGAGGTACGAAGAGACCGTTCCACTTCCTGCGCAGAAAATCGCTGTACTTGACATTTTGCCAGAAGAAGCCACCTCGGATCCGTCGAGCAGGTAGGCCTGATGTCTTGCTAGGCTGAGAGGCAGGGTCGGAAGCCGAGTGAGCGGATGAGCTGGCTCTCGGACCACTGTCGGGGGCGGTGTGGTACAGATACGCCTCGGCCTGGGTGACCGCGGTCAGCCGTCGGCTTGGAGAGCGTCGAGAGGAGGCAAAGTGTCTGGCGATGGCGGCATAGCTGGAGGCCAGTCCATCGATCCTGCTCATCAGCGCCAGCACGGCTTCAGAGGGCTCACTGGTGCCCTGTCGAGTCGCCCCAAGAGAGATCCAAAGAGGATTCGCGCCTGCTCGCCGCCGCCGCCTACTTATACTCGCCCGCCCTCCCTAGCCAGCGCTGCCAGGCGTCACTCGACCGTGCTCGCAGCTCATCAAGCGACGAAGCGACGGAGCGAAGCTAGACCTGACATGGCTAGCGAGCGACGACTGACTCCCGACAGAGCCCTGGACTCGTATGCCGGCTCCCGTCAAGCCAGACAGGATGGACCGAGCGATGCACGAGCGCCTTGGCAGCCGTATGCCCACAGCGATCAGCAGCAGCAACACCGCAGCTACGCTCACACTTCTCAGGATCGCAGACCGAGAGACGATGGCTTCTTCGCAGCGTCAGTCCCTGAGCATCGCTGTCACGACATCAGCTTACAAGGCTGATCCAATGAGCGCTCGCAGTCGTCGACAGCAGCGGGAGAGCTCTTCTCTCACCATCTGGCCAGACTCGCCTCCCCGACCTGCCCCAGAGAGCTCGGTCGGGCAAAGAGAGCCTAGCGGCAGTAGCAGGAAGGACAGGCACAGATCCTCGCGCCGTGATCACGGCTCGTCGAGTAGGCGGCGGCATCATGACTCACAAGACGAGTCAGAGGGTCGGTACGCAGAAGACAAAGATCGATCAGACAGGAAACGACATCGCGATTCACGCAAGCACTCGAGCAGTCGCCGGCACCAAGCCAGCCGCGACGATAGCAGAGACCGAGAGCCAAAGCGGATGCGCCCGGACGATGATCCGATGTCAGCCTCTGATTCGGACAGTCCATCACCGGGAGATGCAGTCAGCAAACATATCCAACACGCTGTGGACGAGGACGACTTGTGGGTCGAAAAGGGGCCGCCATCGAGCAGCAAAGTCCGAGCAGCGAGCCCAGCTGCTGACTTCGCTTCACGAGGCAACAGTGTCGCAGCGGCAGTCGTCAGATCTGAGATTGCGCAGGCAGCCGAAGAGTCTGATGAGGAAGTCGGGCCGATGCCAGAGGGCTTCACCAAAGGTACCAAACTCAACCCCAAAGCGTCAGTCTGTGCGATCCTACAAATGACCGCGCTCATTGGCTCGTCCCTCCAGATACGGGCTGGCTCTGCGACCAGGTGAGGGCGCGGCGATGGCTGCCTACGCTGCCGAGGGTGCACGGATCCCTCGTCGTGGTGAAGTGGGCATCGGACAGGAAGAGATCAACCGTTTCGAATCGGTCGGCTACGTCATGAGTGGCAATCGACACAAGAAGATGAGTGAGTGCCGCACGCGCAATACCTCAAGAATCGGGCTGAACACTCGACTGCAGATGCTGTCCGTCTCAGGAAGGAAAACCAGGTCATAACTGCAGAAGAGAAGCGGGGTATGCTCAAGCTACAGGCCGAGGAGAAGGCAAAGCGAGAGCAGCAGATTGTGTCCTCCTTCAGAGAGCGTCAGTGTGCTCGCTGCCCCTGTCAGAATTTTCAGACTGATTTGCTATCACAGTGGTCGACACTCGTCTCAAGAAGGCCTAGTGGGGCTCGTTCGGCAGCAGACGAGATGCGTTCCCTTAGATGTTGTACACAGTCAGCCTGTTGCAATGCTCCAACACTGACGAACTGTACGCAAAGTCGCCCGGCACTCCTCGCTATTGGGGAAAAGAGCTTGTGGTTGCGTCAAGGAGGACAGTGCGAGTCGGTCTCGGATTCGTTTTGACATTCTCCTCTCCTCACTAGCACCGACGAGTCGCTTGGATGACCACGTCGGCGACTCCAAAGCGAGGTCCATTTAGTAGAGGCCGCATAGGTGCGACGCAGATTTTCGGGCAAAATCGTTTTGGCTTGCCACGTATGCAATATGACAACAAGCAGGGTACAGGGCGCAGAGGTCTACTCTATGCGATCCTCGCCATCCGCATGGCTGATTGCAGCAAAGGAGAGAGTCTCTAGCTTGCCGAGCTCGCCCTTTGGACCAGCACTGGCATGTATGAGTTCGTTGATGATCTTGAAGCTGCCTGGATCGATGAGGGCAACGATCTCCCATTCGGAGCTGTTGGTCTCTTGGGCTTCGATGGACGCGCAGAGAGGCGTGATCTGACCCTTGAGTGTCTTTGACTGGCCGACCGGCAAGGTGAGTCGTATCCGCATTTGCGCTCGCTGTATCGGCAGCGCACTTTCGCTCTGGATCTGCTTGATGAGCTCGAGAGCCTGCACGAACGTCCGTCAGGGACGGTACGAGCTAGATCACAGACGGGACGTGCCTGTGACTTGATCGACTTGTTCGTGTGCACGGCATAACCGAGCTGATCCATGACTTTCTCGATCATCGTCACTGTGATGGGTCGCTGCGTCTCCGGATCGACACATCGCTCTGCGGTGGCCAGTGCGATCTCCCGTCTCATCGCATCGATCTCGTGGGCTCTCTCCTTCTCGCCCACTTGGAGCTCTCCCTTTTTGAGGATCTGCAGCAGGATTTCTTGGACATCTGTCGTGCCGAATGCTTTCTTGAGATCCTGCGCGGGCGAGACGGCGCCCTTGGAGACGTTGGCAAAGATCTGTTCGATCTGAATGACTTCTGACAGGTCTGTCTCGACGCCTGACCGCCACTCTCGAGCTTTGTTCTTGTAGCAGGCAATCTCAAATCGTTTGCCGGCTTTCTTGAGTCGCACGACGGAGACATTGGTCAGTTTGATCTGATTCGACGGCTGGTTGATCATCGCCGTCTGATCGCTATCGCTCGCCGGCTGCCTCACCTGCTGGCGGGCCTTGTCTCGTCTTGACCCTGATGACGGACGGACACGCGCGTCGCGATCGTTGCTGGACCGCGCTTCTCGCTTATCAGTCCATCTTGCTGACCACACACGTCGGACCTGACTCGGCTGGCAGCCCCGTAGATGCTCGCAGACGGCACACTCAAACGCCGACTTCGCATCTTTGACCCTACTTAGATCCAGATCCAACATGTTGCTTGCTCGCGCTTTGGCCTTACAGCGAGTCCCCCACCGAGTATCAGCTGCTCAGGAGGCGTTTTTCGTAGTTCCCAAGCCTTGCAGATATACTTCTACGGCTCAAGCTGGCACTCGCCAGCAATGGCGAGCCTCGGGCAGCCGCGCAACCCGCATTGCTGCCTTTAGCCTGCTTGCGACAGGGGCGACGATCTACTATCTGCGCCACCAAGACTTGCGGATCAGAGAACATCAGGAACTCGCCGTAGCCAGATCGGCAGCCATCTCTGACCCTCTCGACGTCCTCAATCCAGCCGAAATGGCAAAGGGCAAGCACCTACGCGCGATGCCCCTACCAGTTCTACTGAGGTCATACCTCGTCTACGCCCTTTCGTCGTCAGGCTTCATCGTCGAGCAGTCGCCCAAGATCATCAGTGCTCTAGAGACCGTCAGAGATACCGTGCCGCTCGTCGGTCCGCTTGTTTGGTCCACGTTTGCAGGGGTCATGCGCAACACCTTTTTCGCGCATTACGTCGGCGGCGAGACCGTGCCGGGCTGTTTTGGCCTCATGGACGAGCTCGAGAAAGAAGGCTGCTCGGCCATGCTCAACTACAGCGTCGAGAAGGACGCAAGTACTGCTGCCCAATCTGGCATCATCGACGAAAACGTCGAAGAGATCCATCGCGCCATTGTCGCCTCTGGCCATGCAGGACGTGCTCGATCGACCTGGGTAGCTATCAAGATCACCGGTCTCGTACACAATCCGGGCCTCATACAACGCGCTTCGGAGGCACTCGCCTCCTCGACAGCCTACCAGCGTGGCCAGCTTGCCGTGTCAGCCGACACTCTCTTTCCTGCCGGGCCCGCCTTGTCCGAACAAGACCACGTTGACCTCGATAGCTTGCTCGAAGGTCTGCGAAAGGCCTGCTCTCAGGCCAAGGCGCTCGGCGTCCGCGTGGCTATCGATTCGGAGCAGTCGTGGTATCATCCGGCGATCGACCACATTCACGACTTGTTGGCAATCGAATTCAATAGAGTCGAAGCACCGCCGGATCTCAGGAAGCCTGGCTTCCTTGCCAGATGGATCTGGGGGGACCGCATTCCCTTGACGCCCTCCTCCGTGCCACCGACTGTCTTCAATACCTTTCAGTGCTACCGCAAGGATACTGAGGAAAGATTGTCCATCTCGCTGGCGCGGTCCGTCCAATTGAACCATTCGCTCGGCGTGAAGCTGGTCCGAGGCGCCTATGCAGACACTGAACGCGCTCGTGCTCTGGCTGCCGGTCTCAAGACTTCGCCCGTCTGGGACAGCAAGCCGGAGACGGATGCATGCTACGATCGCTGTGCCGCAATCTGTGTCGAAAGGGTCGATCACGATCTCAACACCGCTCGCGGACAATGGTCGCCTGGTATCGGCATTCTCATCGCGACTCATAATGCTACCTCGTAGGTGACTGCCCTCGCGCCCTTTCGACCGGCTCACACCTGCGCAGGGTCAAGCGCATGCTCACCGATCTTAGAGCTCGCAAGCTGATCGTCAGTCAGGTCTATAGCATTCCTTGCGCCAGCTCATTTGATCGCAGATGAACGCCGGTGCTCGGCTCGACGTGAGCGAAGAGGTGCGCGGGCGCATCTGCTTTGCACAGCTGCTCGGTTGGTCCCGGTGACCTTCAATCGAGCCTGACGTTGACTGTGCCAGCAGGCATGTCCGACGCCTTGACATTCGCGCTGTCGCAACTCTTCAGTGGATCCGAGACGGTGCCTAGCTACAATACGGCTACATCCATCTCGCCTTATCCTGTCTCGCCTTTGCCCATCGTCGCCAAGTACATCCCCTACGGTCCCCTCGATCGTGCTCTGCCTTATCTCATTCGCCGAGCTCAGGAAAATCGCAGCGTATTGACGGGCGCGGATGGCAGCGGTCGGGGAGGTGCGAGCGATGAGCGCCGTCTCATAGGAGCAGAGATCCGCCGCCGTTTTCTATAATGGCTTGCTCAGGCTGGAGTGCCCACTCCACTGGCTTCGCTCAGGCTAAGCTTCCGGAGAGAGTCTGCAAGTTGCAAGAGAGCTAGACTGCAAGCAGCGTAGATGCATAGATTCTACTTCTTACCCTTTTGCACCTTCGGCAACGGTCTTGTGTAGGGTAAGAAGGTTCTCCCTTGCATGTACGGCTGCAGGACTTCGGGAATATTGACACCCTATTCGCATGTCAGCCGAAGCGCTTGGAGGCTTGGTGAATGTCACCTCGGGGGTCTGATAATTCTCGACGATGCAGCATAACGCTCGTTCGGTTGCACACAGCGTTCCGTTGAGCATGTGGACATACTTTTTGATCGTGTCGCCTTGCTTCTTGAGACCGCACCTGACTTCCAGGGCGCGAGACTCTGCGGCGTGCGGTCAGAAGACGGCTTGCCTCATGCACTCGCGGACATACGATAGTCAGTGCAGTTTGAGACAGATACGAGCTCTTTGTAGGCTCCTTGATTCGGAAACCAGGCCTCGAGGTCGTACTTCTTTGCGGCCGCATTGTTGAGCGCGCCAGACACAATGGCGATGAGCTGGTAAGGCAGCTTGAGGCTCTGGTAGAAATCCTCAGAGTGCTGTATCATCGAGTCAAACATCTCCCACGAGTGCTCTGGCTCGGTGATGCAGAACTGTTCGATCTTCTCGAACTGGTGCACGCGAAAGATGCCCCAAGTGTCTCGGCCGCCGGAGCCTGCTTCCTTGCGGAAGCATGTACTGTAGCCTGCATAACGGATGGGAAGCTGTTCCTTGGGCGATTCGAACCACTCGTCGGCATGCAAGGCGGAGATGGGCTGCTCCGAGGTAGCGATGAGATACTTGTCGTCCTCTTGCAGCTCGTCGTCATCGGCATTGCCCTCAATCTAGAGAGCGAATGAGCAATGGCAACAATGTTTGCAACGTGTGGCGGACCTTGTAGAGGGATTCGTCAAATTCGGAGAGTTGAGCAGTCTTTGCCATCATGGTACGCTTCATGAAGAAGGGCGGCTGTATTCTCTTGTACTTGCGTTCGCGTAGAAAGGAGAGCCCGTAGCTGATGAGAGCCTGATTGAGATCGACGCCATCGCCGGTCAGGAAGAAGCCGCGATGCCCTGCGACCTTGATGCCTTGCAGACGCACGAGTGAGCGATGGGACGCGAGGGCTAGGAGCAAGCGTACCTCTGTCTGCGTCTGTCATCTCGAGTCGATACATGACTTCATGGTGGCTGAGCATGTCGGCTGACTGGCTTGGCGTCGCGTTCGGGCCGTCAGGATGGTATGTCTTGACGACGACATTGTCGTCCTGTGCGTCGGCCGGGTAAGCAGAGCATCGTGAGCGAGACGAGTGACGGACTGGCCTCTGACTGACTGACGGGCACGCTAGGATGAACGATGTTGCCAATCTTGGCGCACTGGGCCTTGCAGACGAGATCTGCCTCGGTCTCTGACGTCTTGAGACCCTCTATCTTGGCGTCGAGCTCGCTCTTCTGCTTGAGCAGGTCATCTGCATTCTCCTTGTTCTGCAGGAAAGATCAGGCTGGTGTGAGCCTCGTCAAGTCGGCGGGTACTGAAAAGTGAACTTGCTCGCTTCTTGAGACCAATGTCTTTCTGCAAGGCGTTGACCTGCTGCCTGATCTGGCTAATCTCGTACGATACTGCGCGCACTCTCTGTCGTGAGCAGCGCTCCTACAGTGAGACTGACGGGGCGGAGAATCACTTTTGACCCATTGCTTGTAAAGTGCTGCCACCTCCTCCACGAGCTCTACAGAGTCAAACCGTTTGGCCTGAGACTGCCTCACAGCTTCCGGATCGCCCCCTCGATCGGGATTGAGAGATTGGACGTCGATGCCCATCTGAAGGCGCTAGCAGAACTGCGTCGACCTTGCAGCTTCCTCTTCGACCGTCGCGTCGCCGCCGCCGACTTCATCGATAGGTCGAGTCAGTGCGCTCACTGCTCCTGCTGAGCCAACATGGACGACGACGAAGGACAGATCACGCTCTCCTCGCTCGACGAGCTCTCCATCCACTCTCACCCTGTCCTCGTCGCGAAAGTGTCCCAGCTCCGCAACAAGGACACCAAATCGCACGAGTTCAGGCAGCTCACCAAGCAGATTGCCACCATCCTCGGACTCGAGGCCAGCCGTAATCTCGACGTCAAGCCAGTGCCCGGTGTGCGCGATCAGCTTCTCAGCTCGGATGATGCGGCGCTCACGCCAGATCGGTCACGCAGCTCAGGACACCTATCGCGCCTTACACAGGCGCCGCCATTGCTTCTCGCGTCGGAATCATGCCCATCCTCCGCGCCGGCATAGGGTGCGTCCGAGATCTAGCCACCTGATCATGACAGCCTGATGAATCAAGCCCTCCGCAGCATGACAGAAGGCAAGCCTGCATGTCAGCCAGTCATACCCTCCCACGAGCTGACCGACAACCTCCCAGCCCTCCTTGATCTCTTCCCAGACGCGCCTGTCTACCATCTCGGCATCTACCGTGACCAGATGACGCTGGACGCTGTAGAGTACTATCAGAAGCTGCCGCCCGAGCCAGAAGTAGACACCGTTTTCATCCTCGATCCCCTCATCGCGACGGGCGGCACTGCTATCGCGGCCATCAACGCCGCATATGACTGGGGCGTGCCTATCTCACACATCAAGCTCATCTCTATCATCGCCAGCATGCCCGGTCTAAGGTATCCCCGCCTTCCTGACTCGTGCTCGGGCCACACGCTGATGAAATGACATGAAGACGTGTGTTGAGCGCCTGCCCAGGCATCGAGATCCACGTCGCCGCAGTCGACGCCGACCTCGACAAAGGCATCATTGTACCCGGACTCGCTGACTGCGGCGACCGCCTCTTTCCCCAGTCTTATGGCGTGCCCAAGCACCATTGACTTGAGCCGTCTACAGGCGAGCGCGTTTTAGCTGCAATCGCAGCCTGCTACAACATTGGCAGCGTCTGTTGTAAGAGATGCTGTATGTACGCTCTGACTAGAACCTCCTCTGGACGAGCATCTGAACGTCTTTGAGCTTCGAACGCGTCTCGGTAGCGGCAGGCACATTGGACGAATCCAGCGTCAAAAGATAATGCGCCAGCGATGCTTCCACCTCTGCCGCGGGAAAGTCATACTCTCGTCCTGCTTGCGACAAAACGTCTTGCAGCCATTGCCCAAAGAGAGGCGCGACATCGATGGTCAGATGTGCGACCGCATTGTTGAGGTGCCATGGCGGCAGTCTTGAGCGGATCAAGCCGTCATACGCACGGTAGATGACCTCGCTCGGTATATTCGCTTCCCGCAGAGCAGTGACAAGCCAGCCGGGCCGGGCTGTACTGGGATGGCGCTGCCCGAGCTCTGCGACGAGGCTGACGACTAAATCGATAGGCATTGCAAAATCTGACGGATAGAATCGACGTGCAAGCTCTGTGATCTTGCGGGTCAGGTAGTCGACTTGACTGTTGTTCGGCTGCAGCAATGCCCGATCGAGAATCGCGGACCAGGTCTCACGCGTGCGGAAGGCATCGTAGTGATCCGAAACGTGGAAGATGAGCAAGATGACCTCAAGCAGATGATAGGGCTCTGCAAAGAGATCGTAAAGCTATCCTCGGGCAACACGTCAGCAAGACGTCACCCCTGGCTCATTGAGACCGCTGACCTCTGTGATCGTGAACAACCTCTGGTCGAGTCGATTGATCGCGGATTCTTTGTCCTCGTCCGAGATGGCCGTATGGTCGAGGACGGCTCGCCAGGTCTCTACCTGTACCTGAGCGACTTCTAGCTTCTCTTCTGCATCCGTGAGCATCTGAAGCGTCTCTTGTTGCGTTGTCGGATCAGGAAATTGCGATTTTGCGTTGCTGACCGCCATTGAGAAGTATTCGATTCGCTTCTCGAGAGTCAAATTTAGGGCTTCCGAGTCGCCTAGCGCCAGTAGAATGCGAGCAGCTTCTTGATACTCTCCGCTTCGCGAGTGCAGCTGCCAGAGAAGGGCGTATCGCTCGACAGAGATGGGCTCTTGCCTCAGATATGCCGGCAGAAAGTCTGTTCGAATATCCAGCAATGCGTCCGAAGTCTTCTTTGCCATGTACCAGTCGTATAGGGTCCAGTGGAAGGCGGGATCATCTGAGCGCAGGGCTTGCGCAATCGTATTCTGCCGATTAGCATCGGCTTCTGAGTGATCCGATGCAAGCTCTGGCGCCTTGTTCGCCTTGCTGAATGTCTCGTCTAGCCTCGCGTCTGCCGCCTCCAAGATCGAGATCACGACTTCGTAACAAGCTTGACGAGATGCAAAATTGGGCTCACGTGGATCGTTAGCAGGCCGCCCATCCTGCCACCACGCCAAGCCGCGTCCGGATGGATCCCGCGCAACTGCGCAGTGTAGCGCCAGACTGACAGCGGCGGGTGAAGAATCGAGATCGGCATATTGTCTTGCTAGATCTCTGAGCTGATCGATGCTGAGATGTCTTACTGCCTTAAAATAGAGGTGATGGGATTCCCGTAGATGCTCGAGCTTCTCCGCTGCGCCGGCGGAGGTCGAAGCCTTTTTGAGATTCTCAGCAGCTTTGTATAGCAACACGTCGTCTGAGCTGCAAAATGATCCACATCTTTGTTGCAACACGTCGCTGATGACGTCGATGTTGATGTTCTGCCCGATCTGATGGTTGATGATAGCACTTACAAGCCCGCGAGTTGTCTCACGTCCTTTCGGTAACGTCAACAGATCCTGATAAGTGAGATCGAGGACTGCCTGGCGAAGCTCGGGCGCGCAAGTAGCAAGAACATCTGGCAGGCGATAGTCGATCAGAAGCAGTACAAAGGAAATGGCTTCCACTGTCTGCGTAAGGAGGACCCGAAGTGCAGCTAAGGAGTCCTGCTCCACCGCAACGCTTTCTTGCTCCGGTCTGCCATTTCCAGCATCCGGCGTGAGCAGAAAGACCTGAAACTCGGACGATACAAACACAGAAAGCGCTAAGATTTCTCGCTGAATGGTGGTGAGTGTGGCCTCGGCCAGACTTGCGATTATTCGATTTGGATTGCCAATCTCTGGCGAAAGCTTGGCAATCTTGAGTTTCCAGATAGGACGCAATAAGCGTGCAGTCGCGAGAGCCAGCCCTTCATGACGGCCGCTGTAGATTACTCGACCGTCTGGTGAAGTCATTGAAGCGTCACTAACGGCCCCGTAGCTACGATTGACGAGAGTAGGCCGGCCACCAGTCTCGTAAAACAGTTGCTTTGCTAGTTGGCGGGTCTCCAGGCTTGCTATTTTACCGCTCTCGAATGCACTTGTAGGGGACGCGGACTGTGTCACACTGCCACCGGCAGCGATGTGCAGGCACATCGCGCAGCTTTGATCTCTTCCGAAGCTACAATGACCGTATAAGCGCTTTGAGGCCTCCAATTGAGATGCTCGTACCTCGAAAGGAAAGTGCTCAGCTCGATGTCGCGAGAACTGGATGTCTGAAGCAAAGCGAGCAACACATCGATGGGCCGATGCCGCGAGAGGACATACATACCCATGTTAGTGAGCACAAGGAACTCGCGCGCAGGAGCTGTGGCCTGAGAGGCGATCTCTTCGATGGCGAACTGTCCTTGTGTGATGATGTCCGACGCGCTGCGCGACTTCTCCTCGATTGCCCAGGTCTGACCGTCAATTGCGATCTGTCCAGCCCATTCCGCTAAAGGTATTCGGGGATTGGTCAGGACTGCCTGCGCCAGGCGACCAACGTCTGGCGCAGCGGTGAAGAGGACGTCGGCCTCGGGCGAGATATTGTGTGCGGCGATGAGTAGACCATCCGAGGCATACGTCGCAGCAAGGATGTTGGAGTAAGGTATAATGGGATTCGAGGGTATCTGACCTGACATGCCGCGAGGCGCAGCACCACCTGGCGCTGGCGATGGCGATGGCGACGGCGGCAGACGGACGTGAACAATGTCAAGACAGCCACTGCCAGACGATGCAGAGTAGTAGGTCCGCCGGACGGCGAAGTAGATCCTGACGGCTTTCGTTGTGATTGCTACCAGACCTATTGTCTTGCTTTGGGAGGTAGGAATCGGCATCAACTTTGCGATGGCGAAGGTGCGGCGATCGAGCAGATTGGAGCCATTGCAAGCTTGTAAGGCGCGTGCGCAGACATCAGAATGACGAACTTGTCTGACTGGCGCCGCAAGAGATCCATCTTTCCCAAGGCTGTACAGTTCGATATTATTCTGCTTCGTGAGGGCATACAGGCTTTGACGGCTGGAATCGATGACGAGTGATACGACTGGATCTTGAGCGGCGCCTGTCTGCAGGATCAAGGGCATGATCGTAGTCGGCCAGCCAGATCCGGTCAGCTTGATCAGCTGGCAGCGTTTGCGGAAGAAGCCCTCTGCCGAAGCATAGAGTACCTCGTACAAGTCGCCATCTTCGGCAGCAGCAAAAATGCGTCCGTTCTCATGACCGACAATCGAACTGATGACAGCTCGATTTGTGCTCGTTTGCAGTTGGGTCTCATAGAGGGTGAGCTCCATGGGCCCATTCGAGGCTGGCTGGCCGGCAGGTGTCGTAGGTGGCAGCCAGCCCAGGCCGAGCAAATGGATCGACACTGGCGTTGCAAGCACGAGGACTTTGTCGATCGCTTTGACGAGTATATCGCGTTTAGGCTCGACAAGCGCGAGCGCTACGATGACTTCGTTGAGACCTTCGTACGACGAGAAGCCACCGCCCAAGTAAACGCCTCCGTTGACCTGACCCGAGCTCGCCGACGCGCTACCATCCGCTTGCGCACCCGAAAGGTCGCGAGGCGGAGCACCATTGGAGGAGCTAGATTCGTACTCCCAGAGGAAGAGCCGATGGTCGACGGTGATCCAGGCTCGGCTGATCTCTGGAAAAATGCCCATCGCGCACCTTGCCCGGTTCACTGTCACGAGTATGCGTTTGAGCAACAGCATAAGCGGGATAAAGCCCAAGCCTACGGTCATATTGCGTAAAGGACTGATCTGGCAAGATGAGCAAGCGCTTCCTGACGAACGGCTGCCACGCCAAGTTTGGAGGAATCTTGTACTCGCCTGTAGAGCTGTCGCCGTGAACTGTGAGCTGCTGGGAAGCTATACCGTTGCCATACTGGCCCACGGGCGAGACAGAGTGGGTGCCAGAGACGGAAGAGGTCGAGAGCAGATCTGCTAGGTCGAGCGGCTTGGATTCTCGCGCTATACGAGCGTCCACGACGGCCGAAGCTCTCGCCAACGCGGCAAAGTGCGGATCAGCGTCTGGCTGGGTCTCGCTCTGCTTCTGATCAGCAGTCTCTCCGTCCTTGCGCGGGTTTGAACGGCTGTCTGACATGGCCTGCCCCTCTGGACGAGCGTTCGTCGTCTGCAGCTCTTTTGAGTCCGCACGAGTTGCGCTTGATCCAATGACCAGCGACCGCGCAGAACTGCTTCCCTGGAAGGCGCTGCGAGGTCCATCTCTCGCAAATGGCGAGACGAAGCCAGCCATGCAGCCCACAACTCAGGCCTGCGCTGGAGCACGCTCGCGGCAAGTGTTCGCACGTGACGACATCTTTTGACGCGCCACGCGTCCTGGCGTAGATATCAAGCGAACCCACATAGCAATAGATCCTCGCTTCGCACAAATGCTACCAAGGCTTGCATGGCTGGCGAGTCTGCTCAGCATAGCCTCCATCAGTGCAGCAAGAGCCTATGACGACGATCAAGGTTTCCAGATTGGGCGAGCAAGTTTGTACGAGCATCCCCATGTCAATGACAATAGCGAGTTCTACGGGCAAGCTTCGGGCAAGCTCAGACGGAGAGACTGCCAGCCTTTGCTTCCCACTACACCCAAATGGGTCTTTGCGCATTTCGTCGTCTCCAATGCTGCCAATTATACCGTGCAAGACTGGCAAAACGATATGACCCTCGCCTTCAACACGGGCATCGATGGTTTTGCACTCAGGATAGGCACCAATCCGTCCACGATCGGCCAGGTCAACATGGCCTACGTAGCTGCCAATGCGACCGGTCTCAATTTCAAGCTCTATGTCGTCTTTGACATGGAGCAATTTGTCACTGCAGATGAAATGCTGCCATACATCACCACTTATGGCTTGCATCCCAACCAGTTCATCTACGGCGCAAAGGTGTGTTGGTAGACAAGATTGATGTTCGACACTGACTTCAGTCGAATTAGGTCTTTGCGAGCACAATCGGCGGCGAGAACATCACTACACTCGGCGAGGCGACACCAGCGCAAGGGTGGCAGACTGACTTTAAGCTCGCCTCGGCCAAATCAGGCTATCCCATCTATTTCGTGCCTGCATTCCCAACGCTCGACATTGCCTCTTTCTTTACCGCTGAGCCTGCAGCCGATGGCGTCTCCAATCTGGACGCCTGGCCCGTCGGACCGGCTGCCTCGATGGACCTCAGCAACGCGACCGACATCGAGTATCTCGCGTCAGCAACTGAAGCTGGCAAGACGTACATGTTGCCGATCTCGCCAAGCTTCTTCTCACATTCGATCTATCAGAACAGAGTGTACCGCACAGATGACTGGGAATATTCATCGCGCTGGGAGCAAGCTATCGCACTCGGGCCAGATTTTGTCCAGATCTTGACTTGGTAGGTTGTCCTCTGGCATCCAAAGGGCTCATCTGACATTATTCTTGCGCAGGAATGACTATGAGCGCAGCGACTACATTGGCCCAATCTCGACAACCCGGCCCGAGCCTGCATTCGTGCCTGGCTACCCCCACACAGCCTTTTTGCTGCTCTCTCAATTCTACATAGCCCGATACAAGCAGGGCGGATTCCCTGTCATCACAGTGAGCTTCAAGCGTATTCAAGGGAACACGTTCTGATGGCGCCCCATACACAGACTGATGCGCTGGTATTCTGGTACCGTACGTCCTCAAAGAACGCTGTCGCCCCTCTGGATACGATCGGACGACCAAAGGGATACCAGAATGTCGATGATATGATCTACGTGGAAGTCATCTGTGTCTCGCCCGGCGAACTTACTATCAGCTCAGGCGACGCGACATCGACCACGCCCGTCATTGCAGGCATCAACAAGCTGAAGATGGCATTCAGGGAAGGCAAAGTCCAAGTCGTTCTGACCCGCAACGGTGGCGTTGTCCTTAACAGTTCGGGCACTGGACCTCTAATCAACAATACCATCGCAGCCTACAATTTCAATCCGTATGCGGAGCAGGTTATCGCCGGCACTGTTGCTGTCGCGGCAACGAGCGCCGTCGGCTCTGCAACGAGCAGCATGACAGCAGCAACACCAGCTTCGTCGGGAGTGTAGAATATGCGACTATAACCGCCATATCGCTGCGTAGGAGCGTTCCAGCGACGCATTTGATGTTCCTTACGCAGACAGTAATTTATACATCATCATCTTCGAGACTACAACAACAAACGGCCCTTTTGAATAAGCGTGTAGACGCATTCGCTTGATGAGCCCAATACCGCCCAGTGAAGTATCTGCTGGGCGCGGGACCATATACCACATCAGCTTGGGTCTTGCGTGGGACCTCATCGTCAGCGGATGAGGAGAGCTCGGACTCCGATTCTGGAATGACATCTGACAGTCCGTCTGCTCCATCGAGGGCGCCATACGAACTGCGTAGCGGGGAGCAGCTTCGACCAACGCTTGAGCCACGTCTCTTGCTCCTGCCGAACGTCGACGGAGCCAATGGCTTGGTCGCGCCATCGTCATCTTCGCTTGAGGCAGACCATGGACGCCATCTGAACAGACGATGATGCCAGCTCCCATGGCGCGACTGTCCGGCATCGCCGTCCGGGTGCACGGACGTGGACAGACGAGAGGATCGGCGTCCACGCCTGCTGTGCTGCTCTTGTAAAAGCTTCTTGTAGTTTGCATCGCCCTCGGGACCGGATAGATGTCGCCGATAAGGGCTAGCGTGTTGAGCCAGACTGCTCGGCACGCCACTGGCTAGTGATAATGCGAGCCATCGCATCCTCTGGGGCGAGGGTGCAAAGACAGAGGCGTTCCTGAGAGGTGCATAGATGGACGAGCATGGAGACGACGATCGCGAGGGGGCCAAAGAGCCCGAATGGGGCGAGGACGTGAGGTCGCGGGTAGAAGTGGATCTGGGTAGCGAGATGTCAGAGTTACCAGCGCTGCTTCTCGAGACGATGGCAGATGATGCAGACAGAGAAGATCGCCTTGAAAGCGTCTCCGGACCTGTTGCCCCTGGGGGAGGCTGCAGGCCACTCGGCAGAGGGGACGCAATCATGCGAGAGGAGGCAGAGAAGCTGGAGCGACCAAGAATACTGCCAGGATGACCCATGCCGATACTCTGCAGAGACGATTTCGGGGGTTGGCCTGTCATTGAGGAAGATCTGGAGGCCTTCGCCGCTGCGCGTGTACGGGAAGGGCGCTTGATGCCGCCTGATATGCGGACCTGGGAGGAGAAGCTGATGTGACGTTTGCCGGACAGCGAGGGCTGCTCCTGGTGCTGATCATCGCCATCTTCTTCAGCCATTGCATGAGTGTCATCGTCACTGCTCTCATCTGCCGTCTCTGGCGGTTGCCGGGCGTCGAGGAGCGCTTGCTCTCGGTCAGGGTAGTAGTTACCCAGCAAGCGCAGGCCTTCTGTGTCCTCCTCCGTCCTGTAGGCCGCACGCTCGTCAGAAGCTGCCCCGTCGAGCTCATCCAGGCCATCCTGAGGGCCGCTCGTCGAAGGCAGCTTGCCACCTCGCGCTTTGTAGGATGCCAGCCTGCGCTCTGCACAAGAGCGGCAGCGTCAGCGCAGCGAGGATTGCCGCGCTGGCGATTGCTTACCGAGCTGCTCGATGTATATCTCCTGATCAGTCCTGATCTCCTGCCACGGTGCCTTCCAGCGTGGCTGATCTCCAGCGAGCTCCATCACATTGTGCGCCTGTGATGATCCTGCTGTGCGTATAAGAGCGATATCGGTCCGCACGTGACTCCGATCCGTGACACGTATCACGCGACCAGCTGGCTGAGCGGGTCGAGAGGGACGTTTGTCGAGACACGAAACACGAACCAGTCGCTCTGGCGACTCTGAACCTGACATAGCCTAGCGGTGCTACTGAACCTGCTCACACTCATATACAGCAGCGGCTGAGCGCAAAGATGCGATTTGTTGTGTACCTTACTGCGCTCGCACCCTTGCTGGCATTGGCTTCAGATGCTGCGTCAGGCAACCAGCTGCAGCAAGTCAGGCTCTCAATGGGATCTTCAGAGTCATCGGACAAGCGAACTTTGACCTTGCGGGTCAAAAAGGTGCAGAGGAAGAAGAAAGTGACCAAGCATCCTGCCAAAAGCACGTCGGGCAGAAAAGCTTCCCCGTCAACCAAGAGAGCAACGCTGACCAAGAAGCCCATCTCGACGGCGACATCCAGGAGCACCATACCCGTGTCGAGCAAGGTATCGTCGACGTCAACAAAGACAGGCACGAAGGCACCGATCACTATCTCGATAGCGCATCCAAGCTCAACCAGAGTGGACATCAGGACGAGCACAGCGCCCAGCAAGACGACCGCTGCTACCCACACCTCGACGAGTGCGCCTCTTCTCAGCTCCGGCTTGCTGCAGCTCGTCAAGACAGATTTGGCCTCTGTTGCGACAGATAGCTGGGTCATCGGAACTCAGCTGGAAACTTTGACAGAGTATGACTATCCTGACCTTTCAGTCTACGGCTCCACACCCTTTCCAGTCCTAGGTCTCGGCATGGTGCCGAACGAGATCAGCGCGATCGTCCAAAAGGTCCTTGCACGCAGCGACGGCACTGGTCCCCTCACTTTTGGCGACGGCGCGACGGGTGATCCTGCTTCGCTCGGCACTGGCTACATTCTTGCTTCATACTATGCCGACGACTCCACTCCCGATCTGTACGCTCAGCCATGGACTGCCGCTAGCAAGAGCCAACGAGTGGGTGACGCGGCATCGCTTGTGAGTGCAGTCTACAATCAGCTGCAATACCTACTCGTCAACGTCACCCGTGACTCGAACGGCGCGATCTCTCACCGGGCCGATCAGACGCAGCTGTGGTCAGACAATGTCTACATGAGCATGCCCTTTATCGCATACTATGGCGTCGCAACGGGCAACCGGACCATGCTCCAGCTTGCCGTCACCCAATGTCAGGCTTACTTCAAGAGCATGACCGACAGTACTGGCACGATGAAGCACATAGTAGGAGGCTCCTGGGGCGATGGCGGCCATTGGGCAACGGGCAACGCATGGACAGCTGCCGGGATGCTGCGCGTGCTCGCAACCGTCCGGAAGTCACCTTGGGCCGCGTCTATGGCGAGCCAGCAAGCGAGCCTGGTCAGCATGGTTCAGACTGTGGTCAGCAACTCCTGGAAAACTGCGCTGAGCGTGCGTTGCTCTGATGTCGGAGGTGGCAAACGCTGATCGTGATGCAGAATGGAGCCTTGCCCAATTATCCGGACACAAAATACAATTTTGCGGATGCAGCCTCGACTGCTCTGATGGCCTCAGCGACGTATCGGCTTGCCGCAATGGGCTATGCATCGGCTGCCAATATCGACGCGGCAGAGCGCGGCAGAATGTTCGTACAGCAAAACGTCGGCAGCGACGGATGGCTCGCTCACGTCGTCGATCCTCTATCGTGGAATGACATGCTGACGGGCTCGAAGCATTCGCCAGAAGCTCAAGCATTCGTCTTGCTCATGTCTGCCGCCTATCGTGATTGGCGCACCTGAGACTATGCTTGTCTCACCATCTGTCGGGCGAGCCTCTCTCGGATTGAGACTTTGCTGGTCTGCATCTCTGCGTGGCTGTTGTTGTAGACCTGAATGCATTCGCGGACTGTCGAGACAACAAGGGACGGCACGCTCAGAACTTGTAGATCTGACTTGGCGAATAGCCTGCTGAAGCGTCAGAACCAGCACTGCATGAGAGGTACCGCGGAACTGACCAAGGTCGGCAAAGTGGCCCTTGAGCGGACCCTGATCGGAAGGCGACTTCTTCGTGCCCGCCAGGATCTCTACCTGACCGGGCGGCCCGCAGATGAGAATCTTGATCTTGTCCGCGTTGCCGGGCATGGGCATATGGTCCTTGAGCAAGACCGGTCCGATATAGCCTGTGGGACCTGCCCACTTCTTCGGTGGCTTGTCGAGTACAAAGTGGATCTTGAACTGGTCAGGCTTGCGCTTGGCCATATCCTCGAATTCCTTTCTAAGCAGGATATCCTGTTCGGTGACGTTGGAGTACAACAAGACGACCTTTGTCTTGTCAGCCGGATTGTTGTCGATCGCCTGCATGACCTGCCAGAGGGGCGTGATGCCGCTGCCGCCGCCGACCATGCCGATAGTCTCGAATTCGTTGGCTTTGTAAGCGATCTTGGGGATTGGCCCCTTCATGGCGAGCTTGTCGCCCGCTTTGAGGGAGTGAATGTGCTCGGTCATGGCACCACCCTTGTACTTTTTGATGATCAGTTGAATCTCCCCCTGCGTGCCTGGCGCGGTCGTCGGCGTGTAGGGTCGCACCGCAGGCTTGCCGTTCTTATCGAGGCCCTTGCCTTCGTCGGCCGACTTTGTGAGGAGAGCAGAGGCCACAGTGAGTCCTGAGTCTGTGCCTTCGGGCAATTTGAAGGTGAAGACGCTCGTGTTGTGGTTGTAGGGGGCGACCTTGGCGACCTCAAAGTCTCTCCATTCGTCCTTGTTGAGCGCAGGCACGAGCCCGGAGGCTGTCTGGGCCCCCGACGTCACCTTTCCTGTTGCATCATTGAGCGCACTCTTCGCCTTATCCTCGAGCGCAATGGCCGTCTTCATGGGATCCTTGCCGGTCGACTGGAAGTAGTAAGCTACACCTCCGATGGCGGCGAGAGCAGCGCCTCCAATGACGAGTGGAGAGCTTCCACCGCCAGACTTGGCTGTCGGCTGAGTCGCATAGCTCCTTCGAGCAGCCTGGTGGAGCAGCTGTGGTACAACTCGCTGCATGGCTCGAGATACGGACCAGCCTGTGCCCTGCTGTCGACGTCACCACTAGGGATTCGCCCGAGTGGGGATCGGGTACTCCCCTCCGAGCCGCGCCGGCCACGCCACCTCGAGTAGGAGAATTGCAGAAACGTCTCACCTTTTGAAGCTGCAGCAAGCGTCTCGGGCAGAGCTATATAGGTCAATCCAGACGGACAAATCGTCGCACACCGTGAAGAGCAGCAAGAGAGAACGCAACCCAAGCTTCAATCGAAAATCAGACAAGACGTTTTCCAACGGTCTACTGAGTAGTCACAACGCCTTTGCCGGGTGAGTCTGACCTGTCGGTCTGCATGTTTGCATCCCCGCACCTTCTGCGATGCCAGTCGTACATCCTACGTGCTCGTCACTTCGATCGCCGGCGCGGATGCGGTGCCTCTTGCCTTTGTATCTACTCCCACTGCCTCGGCCTTACACGCGGCGACTAGTGAGTAAGATCGAACGCAAAGCTGACTATGACGCTCGTCCGATGCACAGTCGTCGCACTGCTTCACCCGGCTCACCCATACGAGCGCCCTGAAGTTGTCGCTGTTCCAAGCAAACCATAACAACTCTGATATCACCCTCAACAGCACCAGGCAGAACGATGGCACCCATCGCTCACAACGGCTCAAACGGCCACCATGCCCAGCAGCCTGCTCTCACCAACGGTCACTCGAGCACCAATGGAGCATCCCACGCTATCCCCATCGTCGACCCCACTGCTGCCCGTCGACCGGTCGAGCCGCTCAAGGTCAACTCGCCCAACGTGCAATACACGGCCGAGCACATAAAGTCAAAGTATCAGTATCACACTACTGATGTCGTCGCTGGCTCCGACGGCACCTTCGAGGTCACGCCTCGCGAGCAAGTCTACGAGTTCCAGACCCAGCGCAAGGTCAACAAGACAGGGTGGGTCTCTCTTGCCCACGTGATCGACCAATGACAGAGTACTGATGTGTGTCCACATCCAGACTGATGCTCGTCGGCTGGGGCGGCAACAACGGCACGACCGTCACTGCTACCATCCTTGCTAATCGCCACAACATCTCCTGGAACACTCGCGATGGTCAGCAGAATCCCAACTATGTTGGCTCCCTCGTCCGTGCCTCTACGCTCCGATTGGGCTCCAACCCGACGACGGGCAAGGACGTCAACATTCCTTTCTCCGACGTCCTGCCCATGGTCCATCCCAACGACCTCGTTCTTGGCGGATGGGATATCAGTGGCATGCCTCTCGACAAGGCTATGCGCCGATCAAAGGTTCTCGAGTGGGATCTCCAGCGCCAGCTGGCACCCCTCATGAAGGACCTCGTCCCGCTCCCCTCGGTCGTCTACGGCGATTTCATCAACGCCAACCAGGAGGACCGTTCGGATAATCTCCTGCCCGGCAACGACAAGCAGGTCCATCTCGAGAAGATTCGCAAGGATATCCGCGACTTCAAGGCCACCAACGGCCTCGACAAGGTCATCGTGCTCTGGACGGCCAACACCGAGCGTTACGCCCAGGTTATCCCAGGCGTCAACGATACCGCTGACAACCTGCTTCACTCGATCAAGAACTCGCACGAGGAGATTGCCCCCTCGACCGTCTTTGCCGTCGCTTCCATGCTCGAAGGCGCCCCTTACATCAATGGCGCACCTCAGAACACCTTTGTGCCCGGAGCCATCGAGCTGGCCGAACGCGAGCGTGCCTTTATCGGCGGCGACGACTTCAAGTCTGGCCAGACCAAAGTCAAGTCTGTCCTGGCCGAATTCCTCGTCAATGCGGGCATCAAGCCGCTATCGATTGCCTCGTACAACCATCTTGGCAACAACGACGGCCGCAACCTGAACGCGCAAGCTCAGTTCCGCTCCAAGGAGATCTCCAAGGCGTCCGTGGTCGACGACATGGTCGAGGCTAACCCACTGCTTTACAAGCCTCTGCTCAACAAGGAAAAGTCTGCGTTCGGCAAGGCAGCCTACACGACCGAGCATCCTGACCATTGCGTCGTCATCAAGTACATGCCTGCTGTGGGCGACAACAAGCGTGCGATCGACGAGTACAATTCCGAGCTGCTCATGGGCGGCCGCAACGTGATGTGCATCTTCAACTCGTGCGAAGACTCGCTGCTCGCCACGCCACTCATCCTCGATCTCGCCCTTCTCACGGAGCTCCTGACACGTATCGAGTACAAGAAGGCAGACCAGGGCTCGTTCGAATCGTTCTACTCGGTGCTCAGCTTGCTGAGCTTCATGCTCAAGGCGCCTCTCGTCAAGCCAGGCGAACAAGTTGTCAATGCGCTCTCTCGCCAGCGATCTGCTCTTGAGAACGTCTTCCGCGCCTGCCTCTCACTGCAGCCCAACGGTGACATGGAGCTCGACAACAAGCTCACTTGGTCTGTCAAGGCATAGATCTTTACACCTTAATCCTGTCGAATCTTCCCCGGCTATGCATTCATCCTCCTTTTGTTGACCGCTTAGCAAGCAGTGGCTCTGCCGCGCGATGAGAATGTGGATGTCTCCATCCGTGTATGTAGGAATGTGACCCTTCAGTGTGCTACGCACAACGACGCGTGCATAGAGGCGGAACAATTGGTTTTCTCGCGGCCAAGTATATTTCGATCAAAAAAGTTTCCACTCGCCGAGGTGCGCCAGCGGTTCGGGTGAGAGGCAGCCAACGACGATATGACGTGCGTAGCCATCACCGGACTCGACATGACCCCTGCTGACAATGCGTCCGGCTTTCCAGTCATCAATCAGTGTGGTACTCGCGCCCGCGAACCTACGGCAAAGGCAGCCGAGGCTGGTGAGTTGATGCTTTGCTGTGATGCTGCAGATGAAGCTGACAGCGATCTCTCGCAGCCGAGTATGCTCCCACCAAGCGGGCCTGATCCGGAAGTACGGTCTCAACATCTGCAGACAGTGCTTCAGGGAACGAGCCGATGCGCTCGGTTTCCTCAAAGTGAGCTCTCTCGCTCATCAAGGCCAAGCGCTTTCTCTGACCATGTGTACTCTGCCACAGAGCCGATAGATGTCAGACGAACCCTCTGCTTGTGCCGTGACTCGACTTTTAGCCACGACGAAAGAGACGCAGAGTGATTGTAGGATGTCAGTGCGATCATCTACAGCCCGCTTGCTCTCATCGCTGGACGGACGATCAAGGCATGGATAGCCAGCAAGAGGTTCTCGTTGTGACATGATCAGGCCTTTACATGATCTACCGAGGCGTTCAGAGAATGCGTCTGATGTCTAGGGAGATTGCATTGTGCTTTTACCGATGAATAGGCCTTGCGAGCCTGACGCTCGACCTTTCATATGCTCACTCGCCTTGGCATGCACCTCGTCGTCGGGCTATGCACACACGGGCCTGCTGTCATGCTGCCAATGCGTCCCGACGCTCGTCACGCGCCACTGCCCGCTCTGCTTGAGATCGACGCGTCACTGTTGCCCGAAGCTTCTTCTCACGTCTCTGGGCCATGTCCGAGGTCCGGCGAAGTACGCGCCTGGCGAGGAAGACGTCGTCCAATCATCTCGAGGGATCTACCCCTTTGCCAGACCGTGAGAGCCTGACGCCTACGCCGGGCGAAAAGCAAAAGTCGTCCATCGCCACAACAAAGACCAAAGAGCGCGCTTCCGATCATGACGGCAAGCCGGCGAGACAGCAGGCTCTCATCGTCGCCGCAGTGCTCATGGTCACCGTGCTCGTAGGTACAACGTACTCGAGCCTCATCTACACGACGGGCGAACTCTCCTTTCGCAGTCGTCTGCCGACCAAGATTTCTAATACGCTGCCTCTCGTACCCAAGCTGGCCGCCGCTTCCTCCCTGCCAAACTTGCCAGGAGCCCATACGTCCTCTGCGGGCGCGTTGGACGATGTGCTTGGCCACCTCAAGACGATCACGCCCTACTTTGCGCGAAAGAGCAACCTATTCAACCAATACTTTGTCAAGAAAGCTTGGGGGTGGACCACTCTCGTGTGGTTCTTCCACCTGGTCACAGTCACCACTCATGAGGTGAATGCCAAGGGCGGAAACGCTCAAGCTGTACAAGCTCGAGCGCACAGACACGTGTACAGAGAGCTTAAGCGATACACTGCCGCCACCATCATCTGGCTTCTGCTGACTACTTGGTTCTTCGGTCCTTCCGTCATCGACCGAATCATGGTCGCATCCGGCGGCGTCTGCCTGCCTTCTGCCGTCGCGACGAGCATGACAGATCAATCTGTCCTGCATGCCTACAATGCGTCCCAGCCGCTACCACATTCGTTTTGCTTCTCGCGGGGACTTCATGCTGCAGGCTCCTCACCGATGGCATCAGTTCCTTTTATCAAGGCATCATCCAAGCTGTCGCCCAGCGAAGCCACTCTTGCGGCTCAGCACCAAGCACTCAGACGTCAGATGAAGGCCCAGGGCATCAGAACGTACTGGCAAGGCGGGCAAGATATCTCTGGTCATCTCTTCCTGCTCAGCATGTCCGTCATCTTCCTCATGCCATCACTCCATCTCGCCCTGCGCAACCTAGCCAGGATCACCTCGCTCTCACACGACAGACAGCAGGCTGCTACTCAGCTCGCAGCTGTCGCATCCTCTGCGGCAGTCATCGCACTTGTATCGCTGTGGTGGTGGATGATGCTCATGACTTCCGTCTACTTTCATACCCCACTTGAGAAGGTGATAGGCATCACATTCGGCCTACTCAGCGGACTTGGCCTAAACTGGATCAACTGAGCCCGGACAGCGAATTTACAGGCAACCATTCTTGCAATGACGAGGCCGGACATACTTTTGTACTTTCATTATGTTGTAGATTAGAGTCATTGCGAGTGTGTCAAATGCGCGTGCATCTTTGCATCTGCAAGGGTCGTGAAGTCATCTGTGCAGAGTCTCATAGGTCTCTGCGACGATATCTACCGGGCGTTTGATTAAGTATCCTGCGAAGAACAATTAGCTGGGAACTGAATCTCTTGAGGAGACACTGACTTTCTCGCCTCGGCAGGTGTGATCTCTCCATATTGATCTAGGTCCGCGTCGCGCTGTCTTGCAATCTCGAGTGCCTCCGCTAAAGTGAGCTTGACTCCAAGCCGGCCATCGGCACCGGTCTCGAGCGGCGCAGCGGCTGAGCGCCGGACGACAGGTGCGGGCGTCACAGAGGCAGCGGCGGCGGCGGCGGCGGCGGCGGCAGCGGCAGCAGCAGCAGCACTACTGGCAGCTGCAGCGGCAACACTAGCCGCGGAGATCGATGCAGCAGATGCAGCGGCAGCTGAAGCCACAGAGGCGACAGAAGCAGCCGATGAGGCAGCAGCAGCCACTGATGCCGCAGATGCAACTGACGCGAGCGAGACCGACGCGACTGATGCAAGCGAGGCTGCAGCTGCTGTCTGGGACGCCAAGCTTGCAACCCCAGCTACACTGGCGACACTCGCCAGCGACGCGCTCGCTACGCTGGCGACACTGGCCAGTGAAACGCTTGCTTCGCTTGCGACGCTCGCGACTGAGGCGCTCGCAACACTAGCCAAGCTCGCAGCGACCGAAGAGACATTCGCGAGCGACGCAAGCGAGATTGCTGCCATGCTCGAGGAGGCAGCCCTCGAGTTAGCAGCGGCCGAGCTGCCGAGTGCTGCACCCTCTGCAGCGCCACCGTTGTCGCCCGCCGCAACTGATGCCTGACAAGCAGCATTGCCAGCCAATGAGCACTGTGAGTAGAGAGAGCTGATAATCGATGGAGTGGCATAATCGGTCGCTATTCCGTTACCGGACAGAGTTGTCGGGTTGAATGAGACTACGCTGTCGGTAGCAGACACAGTAGTGAAGAACGTAAAGAACTCGCTTGCGATGCCGATGCCGGACAGTACGTTCTCGAGACCGCTCAGGACTGGCCCGATCAGTCCGCCTACGACGGGGATGCCGTCGACGATGTTGCCAACTACTGGCAGGAACAGTGAGGAGCCATCGGCGAGACCTGGATCACATGCATCAGCATCGAAAGCCGCGCGAGACAGAGAGGAACTTACATCCGACCAAGCCCGAACCAAGCGCAGTGGCTACGAGACCGAAGAAGTCGCCGGCGCCGGTTGGCGCCGTGATGATGCCTGCATTGGGGTCGCCTGTGTTCTCTGCCGCGCCATTGTCGGCCACGAAAATGACGTTGTAGGGAATGATCACTTCCGCATAGACCAGATTCGTCAGCTGGAATCCATTGAGTGTGCCTGCTTGCGTCGGGTCTAGGACTTGCGTCTGTATACTCAGGGTGACGTCTAGGCCTGCCGTGCCACCGACATTATTCGCATTGATCAACAAGTTGGCATTCTGTAGCAGTGGCTGTGGTAGTGTCGCAGGGACGATCGGCGATGCGCCAGAGATGGAATTGGCATCGACGTAGAACGGTCCGCCATTGTTGGCGAACGAATAGTCGAAATCGGCATAAGGCACTTCACCGCCACTTTGCTCTCCTGGCACATAAGCTGCCGGTTGCGACGCTGTACCCGCGATTGCTTGAATAGCGAGTGGTGCAGATAGCGTATTGTTTACGGTGAAGCTGAACGTTGCCATGCTCTTACAGATTACTGTAACGATGTTGACGAAAACTGCAATGCGTGTCAGCACAAACCGGAAACATGGCGGCCTTGCGCACCAGTGATCTCATTGACTAGGCGAGCGCCGATGCCCGGGAACTCTGACTGAAGGGTGACGCCAGCCAGAGCTTCTTGTAGAGAGCCATACGGCGACGAAGCGAGCGAACCTTGGATCGTGATTGGTATGCGTTCACCGGTCGGATCGGGGATATTGGTGAGGTACTTGGTAATGAGAACGAGTGAGGCTGCTGATGTCCCAGTGAAATGGAATTCTGAGAAGATGTTGTTTGCGCCAGGGAAGAGATTGAGGGGATTGATTGTAGCTGGTCCTACCGCGGCGCCCTGATACGTGACATCAAGTGAGACTTGATTGGTGAATGCAGATATGTTTGAGGGGTTCGCAAGCTGAACGGGATCAATGTCGATGCGGATATAACCATTGCCAGCGGCTTCACTGAATGGATCATTGCCGGTGCCGACCACGATGGGTGTGTTGGGGATGGTGGCCACCTTATTAAACGCGTTGATACCGACGAGTGTAGATGTGATGGCGGCGACTGTCGGGTATTGCGTCGAAGTACCGAAGGGGATGCCTGAAATTGGGAAATCGCCTGCCTTGGTACGGGCGACGACATCGGCTGTACCAGCCAGTCCAAAGCTCACGCCGGTCGTGTCGACGACGTCGCGGAAGAAGTTGTTGAATGAACCATCATTGACGGAATTGAGTGTATCATTGCTAAAGTTGAGAACCAGTGGTGCAGCTTGGCCGTTCGTAACACCAGCAGTAACATCACGACTTGGTAGATTGAGTGTGGCGGTTGCTGCCCCTTGGTAGGTGATCGTAATCATCACCGCTGCCGTTAAGGCCTGCAAACTGAAGGTGAATGGATTGGTGTAGGTTGCATCGGTCTGCTTGTTTGACGTGTCGACCGCATAGGCCTGAGCGGCGTTCTGGATGTTGACTTCCAAGTCGAGTAGCTCGATCTGTGGATATCAATGGTAAGCGCAGCACAGAGCAACGCTTCAAGTAGAACTGACAGTATCTATGATGGTATAGACCACGCCAGGCAAAGTGACTTGCAGTGTGAGCGTCTTAAACGCGGTAGTGAGCCATTGAACAGGCGAATTTGGCTGAGCAGTCGAAACCACCGATACTCCAGTGACATCGAGGGTCGAATTTAGACCCTGCAAGAACTGGCTGAACAGGAGACCGATCGTATTGCGCTCGTCCTGGGTCTGCTGCACTTCGATGTAGCCGACAAGCGTAGCTGCAGTCGTTGCCTGGTGTGCCAAGAATAGATCACCAGTGTCTATGAGCGCATCAGTCATGTGCCACACAACATATCCAGCATGAACGCACTTGAAATGGGACCGACAGTGACGCCATTGAAGGCTGCCTCGAAATTTGCTGTGCCCAGATCGATGCCTAATTGCGCGGGAGAGGGGATCATCGAGCCGGTATTGATGTTGATGCCTAAATTGTTAGGAGCATCGCCGGGCAGATCGAAATTCATAATAGTGACACCGGGCAGACCATTGAATGCGAGCAAGGTGATTGTCTTGCCGAAATTAACGTTGCTGAAAATTGTGCCGAGCGCTGTGACTTGGAGCGCAGTCGTGTGCAAGAACCATTCGAAGGAAGGGTTGTGCAGAATGTAAGTTGCGAATTGCACAAAAGCATTCTGATCAGTAATCGTCAAGATGCCGTTTGTCACCAAATTGGGGATCGACGTTGTGGCCGCGGCGCACAGGTTTGGCAGGGCAATATTGGCGATCGTCATTCCCATCCAGTCGATCAGAAGACCTTCAGGGAAGCCAATATAGGCATCAAAGGGTCCAGTGTCAGCGAGTACACCATGAAGCGTAGCAGTGAAGCCATTGTTGGTAACATTGAAGACGTCTGCGTAGTTGACAGTCAGCGTCGCCTGATCGACCAGTCGTTGCACGATCGTAGGACCGACGGCGCCAATCAGGTAAAGAGCTGTCTGATCGGTTATCGTTGGAATGTTGAATTGATTGAATGCCAGGTTGAGTGCGTAGTCGTCCAAGCTAAGACCGGACTGGATCTGTAGGTTCACGTCGAGGTTCTTCAAAGCTGCAAGGATCGCGCCAAAGACATCGAATTGCGTTCCGCTGACACATGGCGCAGCGCCTGTATCGACGGCCGTCGTGATGGCTGTTGCTGTACTGGCCTCACCGAGCACATAATTGAATTGATCGACTAGTGGACCGAGGTCAACATTGTTCTTCGCCGCCTGCGCCACGAGCAGTCTGACGATTGTCTTCGGATCTAAATTGAAATTGAAAGGCAGTGTGCGACTGGTGATCTGGGTATGACCTGCTGCTGAAATCTCTGGGTTCAGATTCGCTTGCGAAATGTTGCCCAAGTTGAGAGGGGGATCGGTCAGTGGATAGATTGCCATTGCTATGACGCTCTGCAGATTGATGGCAGCCGTGAAAGGATTATCAAGGTTAAAGGTCGCCTGCGCAATGCCAGTCTGCACGATGTCCAACGGAAAGACGAGATTGGCTTGAGTGATCAAGTTCTGCATGAGCGGAGGAATGACTGTGTTCAGCGTCAGCGTTGAGAGCGCAACCTTGAGCGGCGTGTAGGGAGTCGAGTCAAGCGTGCCCTGGATCTGTGCGCTCGTCGGCACGGCTTGAATGAAGTTTTCGAGCAGCGTATTGCCGGCAGCGACGGCGCCATCTCCTGATGGCATACTGCATAGACCGGAGTCAGCGAGGACATGCAGTGATCGATCGAAAAGCTCACAAGTGTACTTCCGTTGGCAGCGTATTCGAGCCAGGCGAGAGGGCAAGATCAGGTATGATTGCAGTTCCGAGCACCTGATTCTCGAAAATAAGGTTGAAAATGACCTGCTGAGTATCGATCGTGAGATTCGAAGGGTTGTTGAGAGTTGCATCGAGATTGATCTGCAGGTATGATGGGAAGCCATGGAACACATCAAGATTGGAGACCACGACATCGCTGAAATTGTCAAAGGCTGCGAGTGTGATAGTCTGGCTNAAGCTGACGCCAGAGAAGATTGTGCCAAGCGCAGTGACGCGGAGGTCAGGCGTGTGCAGCACCCACTGGAAGCTCGGGTTATGCAGCAGATAAGTAGCAAATTGATCAAAGTTGCCCTCATTCGTGATGGTGACCAGACCGCTAGTTATCAAGCTTGGGATCGACGTGTAAGCTGCTGCGCAAAGATCTGGTAGCGCGATCTCTGCGATCGTCAGGCCATTCCAGTCGATGATCAGTTGATCGGGGAACGAGATTGCCGCATCGAAAGGACCAGTGTCGCGAAGCGTGCCGACGAGACCGGCTTCGAAAGAAGTATCAGTAAACATGTTGATCGTTGCTGAGAATGCCTGCAGTGTTGCGCCGTTGACCAAATTCTGCACAATCGTTGGACCCACGGCACCGATCAAGTACAGTGCCGTCGAGTCCGTGATGGTCGGAATGTTGAACTGATTAAAATTGAGCGAAGCTGCGTAATCGTCAAGATGCAACTTCGACTGGATCTGAAGATTAACATCGAGATTCTTGAGCGAGTTCAAAATCGCGCCGAAAACATCAAATTGCGCGCCGCTGACGCAGGTCGGTGCAGCGGTATCCACAGCGGTTGTGATTGTAGTGGCAGTACTGGCAAGACCAAGGACATAATTGAACTGGTCAACGAGAGGACCAAGATCGACATTATTCTTCGCAGCTTGCGCTATCAGTAGCATGATGATCGTCTTTGGGTCCAAATTGAAATTGAAAGTCAATTGCCGACTGGTGATCTGAGTGTGCCCGGGTGCGCTGATCTGGGGATTCAACGTAGCCTCTGTAATGTTGCCAAGCTGAAGGTTTGGGGACGTCAAAGGATAGACCGCGAAAGCATCCACTGCGTTCAAGTTGATAGCAGCTGTGAAGGGATTGTCAAGGTTGAACGTAGCCACCGCGCGACCAGTCTGTACGATGTCCAACGGAAAGACGAGATTGGCTTGAGTGATCAAGTTCTGCATGAGCGGAGGAATGACTGTGTTCAGCGTCAGCGTTGAGAGCGCAAC